GTGGTTCGCGACACCTTAATGTGATCCTCAATTTAATGTGATCCGAGACAACCAAACATAGTACTTTAATATATCTGTATTTTAATATATAAGTATGAAACCTCCCGCGTTTGCCAGCGGGGCTTGAGCGGCCCTCAACTTTTCGACTGAAAGCTTGAATGATCAGTGCTTGCCTAATATGAGCTATAGACAGCATCATTAAGTCTGCATAATTCTCCATTAAGCCTTCCCTATACATGCATCCAACAACATCATCCTACACCACCTACAGGCCCTGAACCGTCCAAGGCCTAGGGCCTAGCGAAGCTCGACCATTTCGTCCTACTCTCCGCAAAAAAAAGGATATGGCAGTATGGCAATCAACTTGTTGGTGTAAAAGCATGCATTTTTACATGCCCCCATCACTATCATTCAACTTAATGCCCACAACTCGCACAACTCCCTACATCTCTCTACCATTTGGAACATATGTTCACTCACGATTTAGGACACATATTCAACTCACCCTTTCGTTCACTTCTCCACCATTCAACATTTAGGGCAGCATTGCAGGATATCCAGGGCAGCACCGCGTTACATCGCCTGCATGATGGTTGGATCTTGTAGGATTCGTTCCGCCAATAGAAGCATCGAGGCAAAACATGCGGCAGCGGTTAAGAAGAACGAACCGCTGCACTCATTGGAGACCTTCCTGGGGAAGAGCAAGGCGAAGAAACAAAGAATTCGTCAAAATCATGGGATGTGTGTCTTGATCATTTGAGATAATTGAAACATTTAAAATGAGATGATTTTGATTTGGGGAGAAAACAAGAATGCATCTAGCCCAGACACCCCTTATACAGGACAGCCAAGATGCCGTAGGTTCGCCTGGACCATGTTCCATTCTTGGATCGCCTGCAGACTGCAGAGTAAGCCATCCATGACTGGGACGAAGAGCAAATATCATAAAAATGAAATAGTCATGTTACATCTATTGTACCTTCATCATCATCATCATCATCATCATCATCACATGTATGTATGTATTACCCTCCAGTAAATTAACATAGACCCTTCCATGAGTTGGGTTTGGAAGATTAGTTTCCACTAAAAAAAACACTATTTTTAGGGTCAATGTCAATTTACCAGAAGGGTATTATGTGTAGTCATATGCTTACCCCATCAGATGGACCAGCACGCCACATGGCCTGTTCGATGTCCATTTCCCTGAAAAACTTCAGGCAGAAGCTATCCTAGGCACTTCTGGAGCACAGAAAAAATGGAATATTTCAATCGCTTTCGAAAGATAAAGTATGGCATGTTATTACAACACAGGAACAATATCTTCTAATCACATGGCAATTGGAATGTATATTTAATACTAATGTTTTCTAATTGTAGGGCATTAGATAATGTTCCTTCTCAACTTTACCCTCCTGTAATTTAATATAGAAAGGGAAATTGAATGCTACGGAACCATTGAAGATCATCAACCTATTAAAAATGATGAGGTTCGATAGCTACTAAAGGGTACCCCCAAAAAAATAATTTTGCTAGGCTCTGTAATGTTCCATCTTGGATATCTTGGAAATTTTGGCGGCATCGTGGCCGACATTACTTGATACCTTCATCAAATGATGGGCACCGCAGCTACTAGACAAGTGCTCCATAGTCATCTCAATTAGCTCATGGTGAACCCTGAGTTCTGGACAGTTTCAACCCCGTTTTTGTGGACGATTGGCTGTCGGTTGCAGTCTTGAACCCCCAGTCTTGAAACCAACCACTCGTGTAGGTATGAATTAATATACCAGACTTGGATATATTTCGGATACTATGGGACCCATGAAAAAAAGTAAGGTCATATCAATTGCCTACTGTTCCTTCATTGGCTACACCAAGCTTCAATTGACAGCTCCAGCCCACTGCAAATGTGCAGCCTCAAGGAGTCAGGTGGGCGTGGCATGTCCTCAATTGATATACATGTAAAACATGTTGACGTACTCAGGATGTACTGGGGCCAGGATTTTTGTCTTGAGATAGGTTTGAAACAATAATTATATCAGTTTGTCTGAAAATTTGGTGCAGTATATTATGATAATATGATGTGTGTAGATATACAATGAGTATATGTACCTCTGAAATGCAATGGTTTATCATTAATTGATCATCATGAATGTAAAAAAAACAAAATTTCACCATCCTCAATCCCCAAATCCCCAAACGGTAGGTCTATTACTCTTGGCTTTACATGTCCACATATCGGAGAGCCCTACAGCCCTACGCCAGTTCTGAAAACGTCCAGGAGACTGGCAAAAGGTGAGGGCCGCACAACGGAAGCTCACACACAGGAAGACAACGTCCATCCTGAGCGGAAAAGATGAGCCGGAGCTGAAGAACTTAGAAAACCAATTAATAAACCCACCATAAAACAATGAAAACCATAGATCCATCATAAAAGAACTTAGGAAGCCCATAAACCAATGACTTGGGGATAGTAAAAAGAGAGAACCTATAACAAAAACATGGGGAATTTTTGTCGACGCGGTGAATCCCTCAGCTGAAGATCGGGGAGATCTTGGGATTCCCAGCGCACGGCTATCAAAGAAATCGCCTTCGAACGACTGGGCCAGAGAAATTGAATTTACTATTTTGGTACTATTGAAACCATGTGCTGTACCTCTTATATATTGAATGAGCCTGGCAAAATGGTTGAATTCGTATGGTCAAGGACTTTCCGCTACGCCATGATAATCTTCAGTGCGAAGAGAACATTAAAACCTGTTTCAACCAAATAATCATGTCATCCAGCTTACCTCTAAATGTTGTTTTCTTGTTGTTCCTCCTTATATTTATTCAATTTTATTCATGCGTCTCTTAAATGACAAACAAATAGACCATCACAATGGCGCCCAAAAAACATGATTTCTTCTCATGCCACCAGCTTCTTTTCTGTCCCCTTTCTCCATCCTTTTCGTTCTCAGTATGTTCCAAGAGGCAAGATGTCGCTGATCCTCCCTGTGATGCTGCGACCATAGTGCAGATCAGATGGGAAACACAAATTGGATCCCAAGCGACATAAGACCTGCAGCCGCGGAAATTGGATCCCAAATGATCCATGGTAAAAGAACGGTTGTGTATTGAATATGAAAATCCTATTGTCATATGTGGGTAGGAAATAATATAGTACAGTATCGTATCGTACAGTAAAATATAATATAGTACAGTACAGTATACTACAGTACAGTGCAGTATAATAGAGTATAGCCTAGTATAGTATAGTAAAGTATAGTATTGTAAAGTATTGTAAAGTATTGTATAGTATAGTATAGTATAGTATAGTAACTGTATAGTATGGTATAGTATAGTATAGTATAGTAAAGTATAGTATAGTATAGTAGAGTAGAGTATAGTATAGTATAATATAGTATATAGTATAATATAGTATATAGTATAGTATAGTATATAGTATAATATAGTATATAGTATAATATAGTATATAGTATAATATAGTATATAGTAAAATATAGTATATAGTATAGTATAGTATATAGTATAATATAGTATATAGTATAGTATAGTATATAGTATAAGATAGTATATAGTATAGTATAGTACATAGTATATAGTATATAGCATATAGAATATAGTATATACTATATTGTATAGTACAGTATAGTATAGTATAGTAAAATATAGTATAGTATCATATAGTATGGTATAGTATAGTGTAGTAAAGGAAAGTATAGATAGTATAGTATAGTAAGATTTAGTATAGTATAGTAAAATATAATATAGCATGGTATAGTAGAGTATAGTATAGTGGAGTATAGTAATTGTAGAATAGTAAAGTACAGTATAGAAGAGTATAATATAGCATAGTATCGTATCCTAAAGTAAAGTACAGTACAGTACAGTAAAGTACAGTACATTATAGTATAGTACAGTACAAAGTAGTATAGAAAGTAAAGTAGAGTATAGCATAGCATAGTATAGTATAGTATAGTATAATATCGTATAGTATAGTATAATATACTGGTAGTATTGTAAAGTATAATATAGTATAGTATAGTATAATATAGTATAGTATAGAATAGTATAGTATAGAATATTATAGTACAGTATAGTATAGTATAGTATAGTACAGTATAGTATAGTATAGTATAGTATAATTTAGAATAGTATATTGTAGAGTATATTCTATATATTAAATTACGTTATATTATGGTTCTTTTTATATAGAATAGTGTGTATATATGTATATTGCCAATTCAATATTCATCAACCACCTTTTTTTCGGCCGGTCCATGATCCAGAAAGTTGGATCGTTTAGGTGTTCGACTCGGGACATTTTGCGGTAAAACATGTGGGAGATGTATATATATATATTTATAAAGTTAGGTCCTTAGGTGGAAGTTGGTAAAATCGGTCTCTAAAAATAGGGGCATTCATGAACAAATGAATAAATGATATGACATTCATGGATATAGAGTGAACCGTTTCTATCTTTTTTGTGATTGTTACCATCTGGTTATTTAACAGTTCGCCATGGAAAATCACCATGCTATTAATAGGTAAGCCATCTATTTCTATGGACCATTTTCCATGGCAAACTGTTAAATAGCCAGAGGGTAATAGCAGATGTCTATGCTAAACTCATAACATCTATGAATGTTAATATGATTTTCCCATTAAAACCTCCATTTATGAGGGATTTTCCACGGCTATGTTAAATAACCAGATGGTATACAGCGAATTGGGGGTTCCAAGAATGGCCAGCAAAAGTCGTAGAACGATCTCAATGGATGGCCAGCAAAAACACGAGCATTTTTTGGCCGTTGGTTTTGCCAAAGGTGGCATCACATCCCTAGAACATCACAGAGATATATATATATATACGTATTATATCAAATATTTATATATATATATATCAAATATAAATATATATATATCAAATATATGTATATATATATATATATATATCAAATATAAATATATATATATATATATCAAATATGTATATATATATATATCGTATATATATATATGTATATATAATATCATATATATATATATAAATGTATAATATCAGATATATAAAAAATATAATATATAATGTATTAGATATAATACATTATAATATATATAACATATAATAAACATAAAAAATACAATATAATATATATATAGCAAATATCAAAGTTCGGTGTTTCAACGCCTGGAGCATGATATCATTCTGCAGAAATTATTCATGTGTTGGCATCCGTCACTAACGATCTGTGAGATTTGATCTACTCTGACATCGAAAGAACTTGGCCAGTCTGGCAGTCAGAATCCTGGAGTTCTTGATCCAATCCCTGTTCTCAGGAACCCACCACATCTGCTCCAAAATCATCAGGTTTACCTCCTGGTTGATTGATGCTGACTATATGATTGATCATGTCTTTACCATGGGCTTATGGTTTGTGATACCCTAAGTTGATGCCCCAGTTGATTGATGTTGATTGCGACCAACACGTCAGGCCAGGCTCTGTCTCGTTATGGTGCTTTCAAACCATCCCAAGGGCCATGTAAATCACCGGCTGTTTCGAGCTGTTTAAGACCAACGACTCAACAGCCAATAAAAAACGACTTGTAGATACTGGTAGATCGTGCAGTTGTTTTCAGTTGTTCTTTAATATGTTTTAATAGTATATATCCTTAATCTCTTTGGGAGCTCCAAGAAACTAACCTCGACAGGTCCTTGCGATGATTCTTCGGCCGTCATATGTCATGACGAGCTGCCATGAAGAACAAGACGCAGAGCACTTCCAGAGAACGCTTGCGTGAAACAAGTTGCCAGTCCTGGTCCACGGGGATGGCTGTGGGATGAAACGATGAACATCTGTGGCGTTCTTTTATGGGGATGATGAAACTGTAACCTATTGTTGTTTGTCTCTTCAAACTTTGTTTGACATGTTCTGCTAAACTGATTTCCAGAAACAAACTACAGTAACCGTTTTTTATTTCACAACTTTAGATATGTTGAGGTGCCCAAAACGTTCGTTGGTTACACCGAAAGTACCGTTTGTCAATGCGGTTTTGAATGATATTAGTTCAACAACGACGTCCCTATCACTCGCCATGCATGGGCTTAATCTGCATGTTTGTTGGTCATTCGCTAGTAGAAAATCCCCAACTAGACACTCTCTTTGTGAACGGAACGTGGACATTGAGAAAATCTACCCTCTGCTAATTTAACATAGCTATTGAAAATGGCCATAGAAATAGCGGATTTACCCATTAATACCATGGTGGATCTTTCCATAGTTATGTAAACGTTTACCAGAGGGTACTTATTTGAAATATTGCTTTGTATCATCCGCAAAGAACTTCAAACCTCATTTGAAGCCATCAAATCGAGGGCTTGGATGGGCTTGGTCCGTCACAATGTTGAGACACTCAGCTCATCAAACATGGTAACATGTAAAACCAACACAGCATGACGCAGCCAATGAACGCCCATACTTACGGTATACAGTTTCGTAATCTGAGTGTAAGTTGGCCTCCTTTTTCTGTGAGTAGCTATCAAACTTGTCATTGCGACCATTTGTTGACTGATTTGGGATGCGGAGCCATAATCCGCAAAACACAGCCAGCTATAGCTATCAACCATTAGCGAGGTCTAGGTATAACTAATTATGTGCTACATGTAAATATATATATATATATGTGTATACATGAGTGTATATATATATATACATATATGTATATATATATATACATATATATATACATATATATATATATACAAATATTCATGTATACATATATATATATAATTAGATATGTATACTACAAAACATGTCTGTGGCGGATACATAGATCCTGGCACCCTACCAAAAATCCTGTGTATACGAGAATTACCGAGAAACAACAAAAAAAACTATGCATGAGGGATTCCTGAAAGAGGGGACTCCAATTCATCCAAGGTTCGTGAAGGTTGGTTATTGTTGACCCGAACACAAATGGTTTCACGAGTTGAGGAAGACCAAATTTGATCATGTTGCAGACATTCTTTTTACTAAACATCAGTTGGGGAAAATCAAGATCGTGGGAAACACCTTAATATATCCCACATATTGTTGGTTGCATACCCCTATGAAATACAAAAAAATGATGATAAATCTCATGATGCCGGAACAACTTCATCTGGGAAACACCCATATATCATCAAATATACGGAGATTAATTATGAATATCCCACCAATGACCCCAATAATGGATTGACTATGACTTACAAATGATAATGACTATAATAACCCCAATAATGGATTGACTATGACTTACAAATGATAATGACTATAATAACCCCAATAATGGATTGACTATAATGACCCCAATTAATAATGATAATTATGAATTACAAATATCCTATGACCCCATAATGGATTGATCTTTTCTCCATATTTAAACATCCCAAATCCTTGGAACATGGCCTCCATGAAGCCTGACTCCACTGCAAAGTCGTCCAAAGAATGCTCCGCAGGTCCTAGCCTTCGCGACCATGGAAAGGGAACAAGGGAACTTGTTGATTCAGTACCCTCTGGTAAACTAACATAGCTATGGAAAATTCACCATCTTTAAGTTCGGTAGGTCAACTATGTATATGTGCAATTTTCAATAGCAATGTCACAAATTACCAGAGGGTAATGACATGAGGATGGGTCAGAATTTGAGTACAGGTTCCCCCGTGCAAACTCACATATGTCGTTGCCCTTGCGAGTGCTCACACTTAGAACCTCTTTGTATGCATACATATTCACAAGCATACACATCTCATGTCAAATATAGATGATTTTGTATATGAACCCGTATTGTGCATACTCAAATATAATATGTATGTGCCCTTGCGGAGTGCTCACAGTAAGAACCTGGTGTCAAAGAAAAACCTCACGCCCGGGTTCGAAATGTGGAGGTTTGGTTGGGTTCTAAGTGTGGAGTCAGAACATTTTGGAAAAAACACGGTTCCAAGTCAATGTCTGCTGCTATAACTATACAAAAATATCACAAACCATAGATAAACATAGTTACTCGAATGAAAAAGAACAAGAAGAAAAGAAGGAGGAGGAGTTGCACCTTTGCTAAAATCTATAGACCCTCATTTGGCAGGCGGGGAAAATAGACTAAAATGTTTTGTCCCCTACGAAAGTGGGACCCCCTAGATAGCTAAGTTCAATTGGTTTTTCCGCCTACTCCTCCTCCTCCTCCGCGGGTAAGTCACTTTAATAGGATTTTCCATTATAAACATTTATAAACCATCCTTATATATTGACAAACAGGATGCTGCAGCATTGAAAGGTTCAGTCTTTGCAGCTAAAGAGCTCAGCTGTATACGTCTTGCCACCATTGTTTTTGTTAATGGCGAATGTCCGGCGTCTCGGCGCCTCTTCTGGCCCCATGTGTCCAGGTAGACATTTATGTCCAGAAGAATGTTATCGGTACTGGCTCATAGATGGAACCAAGATGCACTCCCTGTGGGTGAGGATGCCATGGCATCCAGTGCAAGTTTTGTTGAACTTTAAAATACACCTCATCTTAGAGAAAAATAAATACATATTATATATATATATATGTATACTAGTATATAGTATCACGAGTGATCGAATGTCTTGCTTTGAAAAATATCCTTCAAACTTGCCTAGGATTCATGTCTATCAACTGAAAAAAAAAAACGGAACTTGCCCCGGTTTCACATCACTTTCAAGTCGACATATCAACATGGTTTCGCTTGTTTGACAAGCATTTCAATTTACCGCATGTTTATAGCTTGTTTCTTTTTGTTTAAAGGTCTAGCTGGGTTTGTCCGAAAATAGGCAGGCGCCCAAACCATAGCTAAATTGGCGCAAATAACTCCAAAACTTATGGTTTATGAATGATTATGATACTAACAACATCTTACAACTATTCTCCTGTCCACGAACATGGACGCTGAAAATTGAGAAAATGTACCGATGTGCTATGTTAGTGGGTTCTGTTGCTCTTTTCTGTTTTGGTGCTTTGCACGTCCGCATTGGCATCGGGCATCCAAAAAAAACGCCAGTTGCAGCATCCATGATTCGATCCCTTCGTCCTGGTTTTTGGAACCGGTGTTTTCTGATGGCATTCATATCTTGCTTTCTGTTTTGCCATGGACGCTCTCAGGATTTGGGACAGGCTATCTCTCCCTTGGGGCATTCCCCGGGAACCTCCACGTCCATGTCGGTGGAGAGGAGTGTATATGGGCCACATGGGTTTAAAAAAACCAACTTATAGCCTATCACCACCGTTTTAAGGAGGGGGACGTACCCAAAATGTAGGCTAAAGAGGCCTTAAAGGGGTGGTGATCTTATAACATCTTATAACTGGGGGGGGCCACATTGATCTAAACAATGGCCATTTCACAGTCAAACTCACCAAACTCACCCCCCTCCGCGGGCGAGGAACAAATTTCCAAGGCCCACCCAGCGCAAGTTGCCGATGGACAGCACACCGCCCAGCGTCAACGCCATCCTGGGCGACACGGCCGGCGGCTTCACCCCCACTGGTTGGTGGTTGTGACCTACCCTCTGGTAATTTAACATAGCTATTGAAAATGACCATTTATAGTGGATTTTCCCATCAAAAATGGTGATTTTCCATAGTTATGTTAAATTACCAGAGGGTACCCCTGAAAAATGATGGAGTTCCTAAGATTGGATCATCATCCCAACGAAAATGGGGAAAATTTTCAGGCCATGTTCCAAACCACCAGCCAGTATAACAAACACTGGGATAGTAACGGTTTTGAAATATTAAAGATTCAACTCGAAGAAATGTCGAACTGGAACTCACAAAAAATGTTTTTCGGAAATGAGATTTTACCAGGATTGTCACTACCAAAAAGAAGTAGCCACTCTGATCTTAGGCCTCCAAACTTCGAAGATCAGTCGACTACTCCGAAACACCGGAATATAGACATATGGACCCATAATGACCCATATATAGTGTATTGGATGTGTATAGTGAGTGCATCTGAAGGTGACCATTCAACTCTATCCTCTTGTGATGTCTTTAACCAATATCTTGGAGCACGGCAAATGTCTCCGTTTTTCCTCCCGCGTGAGATAGACTGCATCCAATCTCATGGAGTCATGCCGCTGACACATGTCCGAGGGGACCCCATCCCAAATCAAGAACCCCTTGGAAACTAAACATGAGCAACAGCCAAGGTTGATACACCTTCCCGTTCAATTTCCCCATGATAACTGATGGTTCTTACCCCATAACATTAGTATTGCTTAGGGTAAATACTATGTACCACTATATACCATGCAACCCCCCCAAAAAACGCGTTTCGGGGCATCAACGTTGTTACTGCATAAATTCCGGCAACAATACCCATTGTCCCACAGAATTCATGGTGGACCCTTGACCCTGATTGTCCGCCAAGCCGCATGGTATTGGGCATGTACTGATCCTCGCCCAAGACGTTGGTTTCAACCTCCACCAGGATGGCTAGGACCAGTGGAACGACCGCAAAATTGAACCAGGAGACTGTCCTGCTGCTGGGCAGTGCCGCTGGATGTTGATGGAGTAAAACAGAAAGCAATCGATAATTGATATAAATGAAAATATACGGGTGACATAACTTTAAGAGGAACCTATATATATAAATATATGCATCATTATAATTATCATTGTTAGATTCATATATATATATTATATTATATCTATGATCTATAGTTAATGGGGATAGTCAATGGATGTTAATGAGGCTGATTAAAGTTATAAAGTTATAAGCCGACAAACATCACAGCACCAACTTGCAAGTATGTGTTATTTTTTGCGTCTCCGCGCAGATTTGCCTTTTTTTTGGGTGGGCCGAACGATGTTAGAGATTGACGCCTGCCGTTCTCATAATCGATTGGATCTATTTTCACCTCACCCAGAAAATTGGTAAATTCATGTAAATTCTACAATGATGAGTTATGAAGTAAGATGAAGTAAGTACCCGTTCTTATTCATAAATTAAGGATCTAAGTGGTTGATATCCACTCTATACGTTCACATCAGAAATATCGCTAGATGGTCACTCTCGAAAACAGATATAACCGGGATCCTTGCTGTTCAACAACATATAGAACATTCATCCTGCGTCCTGGGTTGACATCGATTATCATCGATCCCTAAAAGTCACCGTGAGAAGAAAACAAAACCGCCCAGCTGTTGTTTTCCCCTAAAACTTGGATCACAAACTTGACGCAGACCTACCCCGGAGCTTTACGCTGGAACCAGAGCCAAAACTGCCAGTGTTTCCAGGAAATATGAAACATTTAATTTAAGGGATTTTCTCACAGTACTGTAATTCATGTTATCCCAAATCCTTTGATTAACGAAAAGAAACAACAACCCGTTGAAATTGATATTTTGAAGATATCCCCCAATTCTGAGACAAACCCATTTTTGGATTAGCTGTCGAATGCGCTGGCCAAGAATCTGCCAAAACCTTCCTAACCTGAGGACGGCCGTTGGGAGCAAACGGAAACAGGAAATCAAGCAGCAAATCAGGATCAAACATCACTCTTCTAGCCCTTTTTGCAGCCACTCATGTGATGTAATGCTGCGAACAGTTTGCTGATTGTAAACATCATTTTACATTGAGTATCACCAAAGCTTGGGAGCTGGGTCCGCCTGTTTGTCTGTTGATGTCTGTTGTCTGTTGTGCTGCAAAGATGGCCCGCTTGAATCACAATAGGAAACCACCATGAACTGCATCGGATCCCTTGATTCAAAAAAAGTCAGATGGGTTTTGCAATTGTTCCTGAAATTCAGCAATGTGTTTCTCCAGGGTTTTTTGAATTTAGCAATGCGGTTACAAAATTATTTAGGACACCCCTCAATGGAACAGGCAGGTCCGCAGGTCCCAAACTATAGCAATACAAAACCCCCCAAATACCCTCTGGTAAACAAACATAGCAATTGAACATGGCCATTTATAGTGGATTTACCCATTGAAAATGGTGATTTTCCATGGCTATGTTAAATAACCAGAGGGTAGGTCAACCACAACATTTCCTTTTCTGAAATTCACCTGTTCACCGAAACCGAACTTCCAATAGATCAACCAACCATTGCCCGGCAGAAACGGCACCTGAAGTCCAGAATTCCACTGAAGCACAGGATTGCCCGAGCTGCAGGTGAGAGCGCCGTCTTCGGTCCTTGCCAGAGGCCCGGGTATATTTTCACTAGCAAACCATCTACAAGTCATGATACACCCCTTAGGGGTGTACATTATATGTTTAAATCCTAAACTGGTCAGATAAATTGTCCAGTTTCAGGTAAAAACCATACTATCAACTAATCGAACTACCAATGAAAAATCAGCTAATGTCTAACCCATGATACTGTATTCATCCCACATGAGTCATCCCCATGGACATGTCATGCTCCTGCGCTCAATTGGTCGCACGAGACAAACTTGGCCTGCGTACTGGAGCGGACCAAGACCTGGGCCGCCACGGGGCCACTTTGTGTGAAGTTCCACAGTGACATTGGGGAGACATCTTGGAGGATTTCACCCAGGAAACAAAACACAAGTGATGGACTTTTGACCAGAAACAAATGGTTTTGACAATTTTTGATACGTTTTAACCAAGAAAAGTGGGGAGAATCATCATTTCAAGCAAGAAAAATGGGAAGAGGGGTGATCGCCATCAAGAAAAAATGGGGAGATCAGTCAACACAAAGATATCAACTTCATGCGGATTGAAATGATCCATCCCCTTAATACGCGGTGAATTCCAGCATGGGGTAGAGTCCCCCTTTTGGAGGAAAGGATTGGCTGATTTCTACATGTTCTAATATGTTCTCTGATTTTTGGAATTCCGGAATCGGGTACCCATCTGATCCTATCTGACAGTTGCCACTGAAAGATGGAACATGTCACGGCCCATGGCCGCCCTCCAAAGATTGCCAAAGTTTAAGTGTGACCAACGATTGTGAGTCGCACAAATGGCAACTGACACCCAATAGGGATTCCTGCGGCCTGGCGCTGTATTTAAAGTCACCATGGGCCATTGGGTCAGGAAAAAACCACCCAAATTCAGTCAAGCCAGTTCCTGTATTAAACCAGGTTTCAGCAGGGATGATGCTAGTAATCAACAGCGGCAAAGTGGCAACTATATTACATAGTGTTTTACCTGGGGTGCAATTACAGTTCCAGTGTAATTAGTGGTTGGTGGTATACCTACCCCTCTGAAAAATGATGGAGTTCGTCAGTTGGGATGATGACATTCCCAATATGATGGGAAAGTCATAATCCAGCCATGTTCCAAACCACCAAGCAGATTTGGATTGTATCATTAGTGATAAAAAGTTATTAGTAACCATTAGAATTACCATTATATACGATATATCAATAATTACCATTAATATGAACGAAATCCCATGAAAAATCACCATATCATGATGGCATCCATTTTACCGGCGTTTCATCTACCCACAGGATCCGCGGGGCCCTCAATTTACACGATTTAAGACTTCTAAAACGATAACCATATCTGGAAATATCTGGCACTTTCGACATCTCAACATCCTCTCAACGAATTTAAAATAATTTAGGCTATGCAAAATTGCCAATCCATCTTTCGGAAAGTCGTCTTCCCCGGACTCCAGAATCTGAGTCGAAGGGGACGGAGGAATAGCCTCCGGTGTCATCTAACTACAGGTTACAGGACCAGCAAGCCATGTTCGGTCACCAGAGGCTCTTTCCCATTGTTTAGATTGTTATTACCATGATGTAAATACTATATTCCCATTAATTATATATCTAAAGCATGATTTCCCATTCAGATTTATGATACGTATCATGAAATTCATCATTATTCCATGAAATTTCATATATATATATATATTATATCTATTTATATCTGTTCTTAAGTATATAGTCTCATACACTCATACACTGTCCCATGATATCACCATGATTCGACCTCCTGGCTGAAAAAGGTCCGGGCACCTCATCGCACTTGGTGCGCAGCTCGTCCTAACACAGCGAACCAAGCGGTTGGGCGGTAACCATCCCCTTGGAGGTTTCCGAACATAAAATGCTTGAGGTACCCCGATATTGTCGCTGGATGGTTCTTGATTAATGGAACATCCAATGTTGGTAAAATGGATGATACCCTCTGGTAAACGTTTACATAACGAACTGGAAAGATCCACGATATTTTAATGGGAAAATGCACTATTTCGACTGGGCCATTTTCAATAGCAAACTGTTAGTTTACCAAAGGGTAACTATTAAACCAGTTTATAGGTTATTATAGGTTATTATAGGTTATTATAGGTTATTATAGGTTATTATAGGTTATTATAGGTTATTATAGGTTATTAACCATTATTAACCATTATTAACCATTATTAACCATTATTAACAATTATTAACCATTATTATTTTATTATTCCATAAGGGTAACTGGGGGTAGCCCTATTTTAGGAAAGCACCAAATGGTCATGTGCTTTCCACAGAGATTGACCCAAGGACTTGACCCAAGGACTTGACTTGACGAAAAATGACACGACGATCATCGCAAATGCCACATGTAAAACATGTTGTTGATACTGGAAACGTCTATAAATTCAGGAGATCTTTCCATGAAAGTACCAAATGGTACAACTTTCAAATAGGTTCAATTTGCATTGGCTACGGGCATGGGTACCAATGCAGTGGGATGATTACTTTTGCAGTCCGTCACCAGATCATTTTGATGGAATTTATCCTCCGGTAAACTAACATATAAGTGGAAAACCCACCATTTGTATCCATTTGCAGAATGTGTAGATAGTTTTCCTGGGGAAACAAAGGGTTTTCCACATCTTTTGGTATGTTACCTGAGGGATCCTGAGACTACGATGCAGATGTTACAGAAAGACACGACCAAAAGGTCCCAAGTCAGAGCTGAAGCACGTGCTTAATTATTTTAGACTTATCCCATTCTGGGTGAGTTAACATAATTCACCAAACTGAAATAAGGTGATTTCGACTCATCATCTTTGTAAGGGATCTCAAAGTAAGATCTCGGTTCAAGCTATCTAAAAATGATCTCAATTCGATCCCAATTCTGCCCCAATCCGTAAAGGGATCGCATGCTGGTACCGTCATGCTACGTACACCTATCAGCTGTGACCACACAACAAAATGCAAAACATCATGGTAACAATATTATATGTTAAACTGGAAAACATAACGTTAATTAACAATTATGAATTAACATATGGAGAACATATAATTATCGAAGGAAGTTTGGAAGTCAAACTTCCGACAATATGGAGAGATGAAAAAGCAGTCAGCAGGGAGAAGAGTCAGAAGAGAAAGGATCAGAAGAAAGAAGATGCAGGTGCGCGAAAAAGTAGGAAAGTCGCGAAACACTGTGTTTTTTCGTGGCTTTGTGGCTCCGGAGGGTTGAAAAGTAGGCTCGCTAAAGCGGCGGGTGCGGAGACATCTGGGGAGATGAGAGATGAAAAGTTGCACGCCGTTGTGGCGCGAAGCACATTTTGAAGTCAAAATGTACAAAACACACCATGCTCGGACCACTTTTGGAAGTTGAGATGTCGAAAAAGTGCACGCCGTTGTGGCGCGAAGCACATTTTGAAGTCAAAATGTACAAAACACACCATCTCGGACCACTTTTGGAAGTTCAGATGTCGAAAAAGTGCACGCCGTTGTGGCGCGAAGCACATTTCCAAGTCAAAATGTACAAAACACCCCATTCTCGGACCCCTTTTGGAAGTTGAGATGTCGAAAAAGTGCACGCCGTTGTGGCGCGAAGCACATTTCCAAGTCAAAATGTACAAAACACACCAATGTCGGACCACTTTTGGAAGTTGAGATGTCGAAAAAGTGCACGCCGTTGTGGCGCGAAGCACATTTCAAGTCAAAATGTACAAAACACCACATGTTCGCGCCACTTTTGGAGGTTCGGATGTCGAAAAAGTGCACGCCGTTGTGGCGCGAAGCACATTTCGAAGTCAAAATGTACAAAGCACTAGGGGTTCGGACCACTTTTGGAGGTTCAGATGTCGCTTCGCTTCGCTTCGGGTCATTACACTACACTATACACTCCACTACACTACAGTACATTACACTACACTACACTCCACAACACTACAACTACAACTACAGAACTACACAACTACACTCCACTACACTCCACTACATTAAATTACAATACACTACGCCACATTACACTACACTCCACTACACTACACTACATTACACTACACTATACACTACTACACTACACTACACTACACTATACACTCCACACACTACAGTACATTACACTACACTACACTCCACAACACTACAACTACAACTACAGAACTACACAACTACACTCCACTACACTCCACTACACACCGCTACACTACACTACATTACACTACACTAGAAAGATCGATAGATAGATAGATACATAGAAAATAGATAGGTAGGTAGGTAGATAGTCAGAGAAAGAGAGAGAAAGAGTGAGAGAGATCAAGCACCTTTCAGTCCATCAGTGGCTTCGCTCTGCCATCCCGGATTCACAACAACCAAGCTCTCCTACAGGTTTCCTATTTTTGAAACTTCAACTTACCCGTACTGACCATCATTCCATTGACGTCGCGACGTGAAGTCGTGTCTTCATTCTTCCTGCAGAAACTGCTATGGTGCATTTTGATAAAACCCCCTACTGGTCATTGGGAATCATCATCCCTTAAATATATCCAAATATGATTAAACAGTGTGAACATATCTGAAACTACCAACCAGTCGATCTTCCCACAATTTTGCTGAACACCCAACTTAGATTCAAATAGAAGCATCTGGACTGCCCTAGTTCTGCGAACAAGGGGCCATCGACATTCTTCGACCAAAGCCCGTCACATCCACCCTCAGAAATTTCTGGCGACTCAAGTATCTTCCTGGACAACAGTTCCACTCAACACATCAAGGTAACCCATTTAAGTTCCACATTAAGTGATTCAAGATGATCTAAAATCTAAAAATGGTCCAAGCCGTCCAAACCCATTCACCATAGTTTTATCCCAATTATACCCGCCTGTTCGGGATCCCAAAACACATCAGATCCACAGCGAAAACCAGGAGTTCGAGGGCCGTGTTTTCAATTGTCAATGGATTACCCTCTGGTAAACTAACATAGCTATGGAAAATCACCATTTTCAATGGGAAAACTCACTATAAATGGCCATTTTCAATAGCTATGTTAGTTTACCAGAGGGTATCTTAACATGAAGTTCGCAAGTTCGCAAGTTGCAACAATGATTCATCTTGCCACGGTTCAGAATGATCAATCCCAGAAATCTCATGGCTGAACAGCAGCGTGGGGCATCTTTCCACTCCTTAAGAACATGTATGAAGTAAATATATGAGGAACATAGGAACATCATTCATCATCCCAGATACAGTCTGATGAAACATAAACCCAAATTTCATTGCCAATTTCTACCCATGGCAAACATGTGAAACCACGGACTAGTTGTGTTCGTCTAGAGATTTTCGGTACCTGGTTAGAGTGTTACATGTTCATGTCATTTTCCCATGCACTCAGTTCATGGATGTGGTTGGCAAGTTATAGTTATAAGTCATTTATCCCCATGTCATGTTTGCCATTAATACAATTATATAAGTATACAGTAATTCACCACTATAATTAACCCGACGACATTAAGCCACTACATCCCTATGAATATCACCCTTGGGAGGCTCATCCTAGTGGTCATAAGTCCAGCTACAACTGGACATTGACATTACCTATACCCCACTTGCAACTGGGGTGAATTGTTCCCCACTTACGATTCCCGGCAAGTGCGCCACCGAGTCATTTCTATCCAATATCATTACAGTAATACACTTAACCAATTATGACAACAATTCAATGGCCATTTTAGGAACCTAAATTGGAGGTACCTACCATATATAAGGCCTATTTTTCAGGCATAAATTTCAGGGAATATCCCCACAAAATATGGCCAGAAATATAGTACCAACGCACCTCCATTTTAGGATCCTGAAATTCCCATTGAACAATTGAGATATATTATACGTTATGATCTATTACTGGTCACATCCATCATATCATCATATATCAACCCACCATGAAATCCCCCATGAAATCCCATCCAAATTCTGTCCAAAGTGACGTGAGGTGCTTCTTTGGCGACGCGGGTGCCGACTCCTGCGACGGCGACGTGGGCACGGGGGGTGAGATTCTGGCGTGGCAATCTAATAAATTTAACCCATGATTCATGATTATCCTATGAAAGTCCATGAAAATCGCCCATTATAGATATATACGTGTATGTGTATATATATATATATATCATTCTCCCCATCTTATGCATATGGTTGTGGTAGGTTATGGTTAATTATCAAACCCCTGGTACCCGAACGCTACCCTAAGTCATAGTTGGTGACTGGATGGTAATTCCCCCGGTCGTATGGTAATATGTGGTTTTGACCCATCCCCATATCCATAGAATCTATATCACCATTTCATGGGGATTTAAGGCGAACATGATGGGATATGCGGATATACATTATATATATATATAAATATATATATATATATAGCAAAAACCGTGTGGACCTTTATCTAATTCACTAAGCTCAAATTCAACAGCTAAGGTTGAATTTTCCAACCCTTTTCTATGGTTGTTTGGGAAGAAAACGACATTTGCTAATTTATTCTAGGCTATTTAAAGGTGTACTAGCATGTGCACACATACTTGACCAGTAGGCTACTCACAGATACTTGATGCAAAACTATTTTAATACACATATAATACATATAAATATAAATAATATTGTATTTATATATATATATACAGTAAATACATATATATATATATATTCAAGTTCATCTGCTGGACTTGTAAGTTGCGTTTCTTAACCTACGCCAGAGATCCTGGGCGATGTCCACAAGAACATACCTATTTTTACTCATTATGGACGACCAAAGATTGACCATGGAACAAACTGAAATAACATTTGTAAATCAACCGAAATATTTTGCATAACGCACTATCCGGGATTAGATTTGACATGTTTTTACCCATCAAGTTGGTTGGGGTGCCAACATTCTACAGTATGATCCAAACGGACATAGAAATGCTGATGGGATGAATGCGTAGGGCAACCTCGGGGCTTGACCGACACAACATGGAACACAATACCATGATTTCCTGTTCGGAAATAGTCCCTAAATATATAAATATCAAATATCCATAAATGGTAGATTTTCCATATATATATATACGCGCAACGCCTGGGCTTTGCCCAGGCGTTGCAGCGTAGAGGGTCCCCATTCCCAATCAAATCTGGTTGCAACTCTGCATTCCATTGGGAAGATCAACAGCGGCATAAGGGAACATAAAAAAAAATCACCCCCATTAAACTCTACATTCAATTGAGAAAATCAACGAAGGTAATAGGGAATATTAAATCCCACCCCCGTTTAACTTTACACTCAATTGGGAAGATCAACAAAGGTATTAGGAAATATTACAATCCCACCCCGTTACACTTTACACCCAATTGGGAAGATCAACAAAGCTATTAGGGAATATTAGTCCCACCCCGATTGAATTTCTACATTCATTGAAGATCTTCAACAAAGGTTTCATTCTCCCACCCCCGTTGAACTTCTACATTCATTGAAGATCTTCAAACAGGGTTTTATTCTCCCACCCCCGTTGAACTTCTACATTCATTGAAGATCTTCAATAAGGGTTTCATTCTCCCACCCCCGTTGAACTTCTACATTCATTGAAGATCTTCAATAAGCGTTTAATTCTCCCACCCCCGCTAAACTTCTACATTCATTGAAGATCTTCAATACGGGTTTAATTCTCCCACCCCCGCTAAACTTCTACATTCATTGAAGATCTTCAACCAGGGTTTGATGATGATGATGATGATGATGATGATCACGATGGTGATGATGATGACGATGACGATGGTGATGGTGATGATGATGGTGATGATGGATGATGATGATTATGATGATGATGATGCTGATGATGATGATGATGATGATGATGCGTTGCCTGTTGTGGTTTCGGTTCCGGGCAAAGCCCAGGCATTTGCCGTATATATATATATATAAATATGTGTGTGGATACTTTGAATTATAAAATCATAATTGTTCACAAACCTGAAATAAGGCCGTTTGCTTTGGTTACAGCACCCCAATCCTAACCATCATTCCAGTGACGTCGCGACGTGAAGTCGCACTGTCATTTATCAAGATGGGCAAGATAAACCATAACTAGTTGGTGGTTGGTGCTTTCAAACTCCCCCCAAAGATGGTGTCATTGGGTACAATCATCCCAGTCACATTGTTGAACATACAGCGTAATTGAAGCCACCAACGAGGTTGTTTAAGTCCGATCAATATTGTCTTCCAACCACAAAATTGTTAGGTTTGTTTGTTAGCTTCACCATGGAATTCTCCGGACATTTCTTCTGTAAACTACTCAAGGCCATGATTTCCTGCGCGACAGCGCTGAGCTCTCAAAATTCAGAAAGAACCAGATACAAATTACATAATTTTGCATATAGATTTTGATAGATATGACACATCATTGCTAATATTCACTTGATAGGCTGAACAACACACTTCCTTCTTGAGAATTGATATGTGTTTCCTTTCATTTATCCCACAAACAAAAAAAACATCCTCAGGATCTATAGGAACATATGCTAATAAAAGCAGACTTGAGCCACACCTTGACTGGTGACTATAAACAATTCTCATTGATCAGAATCACACGAGGTGCCGTGATCAAAAGATATCAAAAGGTTTATATATACTTGTAACCTGAACGACCTATTTATATATATAATTAAATAGATATAGTCAGAGCCTAGTCTGAAAGCGCCACTTAAGGGCGTACGCGTAAGCCACAGCTTTCCCTTCAGCACACAAAGTATAAGTCGACGCGCAGAGAGTCTCTTCTGCCAATGTTTACGCGAATTCATGCCAACATACCCTTTCGGCTTCTTTAAAAAAAAACGACATATCCCGGACATATCCCTTGATACTTGATATCCAATTAACTCATTTAAATTCCAATGATATCCCATGTTTGATGCTGCTCCAGTTGCGGTTCAAAGTCCTCCGGATTATTGGTCTCAGGTTTTTTGGATGTAGCCGACCCGGAGCGTGAGCCTTGTCGCCCTGGAACGGCGGGAACCGCAACCCGGGGGGCCCGAAGATATTGCTGATACACCCTGATAACATTTGATAACCACCCTGATACACCTATAAATTCTGTAAAGTCATCACATTTGACATGTCAGATGTTCTGAACATCCCGGATGGAAAAAACGCGAAAAAACGGTTGCGCGATGTTTGAATAAAAACTTCGCACAGCACCACAGCGCTGTATATATTTTATTTCAAGATATGGCCGTTAAATTTCCGGGGATTTTCAAGGTGAAATTCATGCATGTATAGCGTTTTGCAGGGAACATGTTTTTCAGAGCGTCTCGTTTTTCCCTTCAGGAGTGCAACTTAGCATAAACGTTACTGCCCCACCCCACTCAAACCACATGACATAACGCAGAGAATCTCTAACGGGACACATCTCTAGCGTAGGATCAGCTGTACAAGTTAACATGAACGTTACTGCCCCACCCCAACCCACCCCACAACATAAGTACACCGTGCTTAAAGAGTGTGCAACCACAGGCGCGGTTTCCACCCCGCTAGCATAAACATGCTAGAGAATCCTTAGCTGTTTTGTGAGTGGCATAGGCATAGACATTCAAATGTAGATTGATCGACCTTGGGCTGTTGGAATACACCCACCCAAAGAGTTTGGATACAGTAAATTAGGGGGTTCACAAGTAAGTCATGAGTGATCCCCATAGCACCATGGGTTTCAAAACGAAAATGATCTGAGTTTGGATGATTTGGGGGTACCCTCATTTTAGGGAAACCTCTAAATACATATATATATATATATACATATATATATGTATATTCAGCTATACCAAGCACATAGCACTTTAAGAATTTGAGGGGCCCTGGAATAGGATTGCCAAATTCTTAAATTACTGCTTACACGTGAGGTTTGCAATTCCCTTTGCGGTTCATTTGTTTTGGTGGCGTGACCCCTTATGGTCTTATGGGATGAAATCAGGCTTTGCAGAAAAACAATTTTTCAGGCTGCTCCGAAAAAATGTTTTTTCTCGCACATGCTTGGACTGCTTCCAATCCACCAAAAACATTGGATAGAATTGAGAACCTGACACATTTCATTCACCAAATAACTTGAAGAAAACTTAGCGACACTGGCCTATGGGATGAAATTGGGTTTTGCAGAAAAACAAGTTTTCAAGCTCCGAAAAGAATTGCTTTTTTCGCACATGCTTGGACTGCTTTCAATCCACACTCATTGGGCTACAGGACCATTGTGCTACAGGACCCTTGCCTCCAGAGAATTTTGCCTTCTTATTCTCTCTCTGCGCTGGCTGCGAGGGGCTGGGGTTGGGCTGGGCTGCGGTTGCGAAAAAACAATTTTTCGCAACCTGAAAAATTGATTTTTCGGCACTGCCCTTGTGAAGCTCAGGCACAATGTTTCAGGCTCTGACAAATTGTTTTTTCGCACTCCCCCTGGAAGATGAATGGAATGAACCCTTCTCGCGGGGATTGCAGGGGTCAAGCCAGGCACCACGCAAAAACAATTTTTCGCGACCTCAAAAATTGTTTTCGGCACTGCTATTGTGAAACTCAGTGACAAGCCCAGCTTTGCAAAATTGTTTTTTCGCATGCCTCTTGTTAGATCTGCCAACTCCACCTCGTTACCTCGCTTTAGCTCGCTCCGAATTGCGCAGATGCATACAATACTTAGCCAAGAATGCTCTAAGAATTTGAGGGACCCTCGACCTATTGTGGTGGAAATTTGCCTGCATTAAAAAATAAGAATTTGAGGGACCCTGGGCCTCAAGCTTTCGGATTCTTAACCAACTCTCGGGCTGTATCAATGGACACTGTCGAGAATGCATGCAGCTTTCAAGAACGTTTGTTTTTCAATCTGGGCAGGTCTGACAGTAATGAATTCACAACTCAAACGCGATTTCTTGGAATCATGTTTCCTACAATGCGGGGCCCCCTCAGTTGTAAGTTGGTCATATCAACCCTATATGAATACTGTCATAAGATGTCATAAGTATACATAGAGATTTCGTAAAATGGAGGGGGTACCTCCAAATCATCCATTTGAATGGGATTTTCCTTTATTCTATAAACCATCCATTTTGGGGTACCACCATTTATGGAAACCCCCACATGAGCATCATAAACTATAGTGAAATTAGAGTTCTGTGGCCCCCAACTTTGGGATTTCGGTGGATTTTGGGTGGAGCCAGAGAGGTCACCATTTCGAATTTGCCCGGTGAAATTGCTTTGGTCCGATTGTTTGGCGGAGAAACCTACAAATCCAGTGGATGATGGAACCTTTTCCCCAATTAAATGATATAGCCATTGCGGGGTCAATTCATTTTTAGTCTAAATGGAGCAGGAATGGAAATTTGCACTAAACAAAACGCGCAGTCCCTATCTTGGAAGTACAAGAGCCATTCCAATTGGTACCAACTTCGCAAATTCTGGAGGTTCCTAACTCGGCCCTTCAAGTCTTCACAGGAGAACATAACCAAATGGGAATCATTCCACTAGCATTGGTTTAGATATGGTGATAAACCCACTTAATGACAACTGGTGATAATCCCTAATATATATATATATATTATGATCAGTAATGAGCAGGGTATTTACCATGTACCTTACATGATCCACTAATAGTTTAATGGTTAACTATTTGGTTGGATAATTCAACCATGAAAAATTCGACTGAGAATACAAACCTATAGCTGAGGGTCTAGGTGGAAATGTCGAAGCCACAGGACTATCCAAAAAACTGTGTTGGGATATGTATTTTCTTCAAGAAACCTTGACCCTCAGTTGACCCATGTATCAAATATATGATATGATATGAAATTATTGATTCTAACATGACTATGTGTTTATTGGCAAATTACCATCTGGTTACTTAACGTAGCTATAGGAAATCACATTTTTTTCAGTTCGGTAAATCATCATGTTTATCATCTATAAATGGGCCATCTATACCATACCGAACTGTAACAAATTGCCAGAGGCTAATCAACACTAATAACCACTATTTGCCATTAATAACCACCATTAACCACCATTAACCACCATGTTTATTGGTAAATTATCTTTTTCAAGGTTGTTTTTCGTAGCGCGTGCAATGTTCAGCTCCATGTGAGTCGGTGATATAATGGGTTATACAATGGAGAACGGTATTTCAGGAAATTGTATTATTTGGGGAACAATGGCTTATAAATTTATAATAGGTTATCTGAGATATAATGGGGATACAATGGGATATAATGTATAATGAGCAATAGTATGATATCTGAGTTTGTGAAACAAATGGCTACGTCACAAAATTGCAAATCAAGTATATTCTAAGAAAACATCTCATACTGCATTGGAATTGGGCGTCCGACACTTGCTGACAAAACATGACAAACAAATATGTTAAATTATGTTACCTTTTTGAAAGGCAACGGGGCTCTCTGAAAGGTAACACGGCAAAATTGAAAACAAAGATGGGGATGGAACATCCCGGGTTTGTAAACAATTCCGCCGGTTGTTGAGACATGGACTTAGACACTTGTTGACCCCCAACTTGATCACATACCCTCACGTATCGTAACGTATCTATCGAAAATCCACAATTTCGATATTATTTTCCCATTAATACCATTTGTAGGGGATTTCCCAACCAGCCAAGTTTGATTACTGGAGGTCAAAACTTAAACTTACTGAAGATTCGGTGTTGATTCGCCCAAACTTAATGTGTCCTAAGTGTCATGGTACTTTGCCACTGGTGTGAAGGTCGCTAGATGCCGTTGTCTTAGGCTAGGATTTATAAACGCCCAGTTTACAGATAAGGAGTGGCATCAGTAAACTGGGGTAGCTGAGTGTTATACTAGTTAAATTTTCAGATTACTGATAATCAGTTTACTATAAGTTTATATACAATAGTTACTTATTTGTCACTGTGGGGTAACTCCTCAATTCCACCTGCAACTGAAATTCACTGGGTCAAAATGCAAGTGATTAGAGGGCCAACCGCAAAAGATTCTAAATCCGGGGTTGACATGTTTGAAACATCCCAGATATCCCATCAAATCACCGTATCAAAATAGATGGTATATGTAAATGCATATATATATATTTATTATTATCGTTTTATTACATATATATAATTATATATATATGAAAAAAATATGTATACATAATGCACATATCTTCCGAATACGTGCGGATTTGTATAATTTCACGTGGACACGAAGAGATCACCCCAAAAAATCAAGGTCCGACCTCCACTTTTGGTTTTGCCCCCATTCCTTGGAAAAGCTGCGCCCAGTGCGGCCCCCAGTGATGTGAATGGTGGTTTTTAAATCCATGAATACTATAGACTATAGTGCATTATAGTATACTACAGTTATCAGATTTTACAAATACTATAGTACATAACAATATAGTTGTGAAGAAATAAATATGAGTATTACAAACCATGGTGAAATGATGGAGTATATTGGAGTTCTTTGAACACCAACTTAGCTATCGTTTGGGGGCCTCACTTTGTGGGCCCCATCATTTTAAATGGAGGATTTTCCAGCCATGTTGAATGCCCCCTTTGGGTAGAGGCTGTTCACCCAGTTTGAGGATACTCAGAATCCACTCACAACTGCTGGGGGATTTCACCCCATATGATACTCGATGGGGATGGTTCCATTGGGACCTGAACATGACTGGTTGGTGGTCGACCTACCCCTCTGAACAATATGAGTTCGTCAGTTGGGATGATTATTCCCAATAAATGGAAAAATAAAAAATGTTCCAAACCACCCACCAGATGATGATGTGTTTGAAACGGATGTCGAAGCCCTCGAAGCCCATATCATTACTTAATCCCACTGGTCGCTTCCAGTGATCTCTGGAAACACAATATTCTCAATCCTAAATACACCCACCACCTCAATTCGACAATGTTGTGCCGCTAAAGTGATGTTGGTTTACAAACCCCATCGACTAGCTCAATATATCTACCATAAAGCCTAATCATAGTAGTTATATGGGATTTATGGTAGATATTCATCTGGTAGATATTTATATAGTAATGTATTAACTAATAAATCGTGTGTCGGTATATCAATATATCTACCATAAACCCTAGTCTATGGGATATGTCAAATATATTATATTATATTATATTATATTAAATTAAATTATATTATATTATATTATATTAAATATCTTATATTAAATTATACCAAATCATATTATATCCTATTAAATTCAATCATCTTATATTGAAACATATTACATTATATTATATTGTATTATATTATATTAAATTATATTATATCAGCTAATATTATCTTATGTTATATTGTAGAATGTTATATTATATTAAATCAAAACATATTATTATGTTACATCCCAAAAATATTGTATTATTTATAAGGGTATATTATGCCATATTTTTTATATCATGTTTTAATTTACTATATTTTATCATATGATATTAAAATGTATTATATCATACTATATTATATTTTATTATATTATACTATATTATATTATACTATATTATATTATATTATACTATATTATATTATACTATATTATATTTTATTACATCATATTTTAGTGTATTGTATATTAAATTAAATAATATCATATTTTATTATATCATGTTATATCTGACTATTTTTTAAATGATATTAAATTGTATTATGTAATACTATATTGTATTATATTACATTATATTATATTACATCATATTGTACTATGTCATACTATATTATATTATATTATATTAAATTATATTATATTACATAATATTTTATTTAATAACTTAGGACTTAGCTAATTAACACCTTCTAACCATCATTGTAAGGTCTGCCCTTGTGTCCCCTCCTAGGACGAACAACGAGACCAGGGATCCTCATGATGCGACAGGCCGTAATTCCTTCGATTTCTTCCTTGGGAGTGCCGCAATGCCATGGATGCAATGCCAAACTCCTGTGCTGACTGGGGTACCATTTACTGGTTGGTGGTTGACCTACCCCTGTGAAAAATATGAAAGTCAGTTGGGATGATGACATTCCCAATATATATGGAAAGATAAAAAGAGTTTGAAACCACCAGCCAGATTTAAGCAGCAAATGCTCAGTATTTTAGGAATTTGTTGGGATATTCCTCCCTCATTGGATGGTTTTTACCAGTGGACAGAGGGGTTACCATGGGTTAATCTCCGCAAGTCGATCATAGGTTGTCTCAAGGTTTCTCATGGATGTTCGAAATTAGGGGTCCCCCCCAAAAAATGACGGTCTGTCATATGTATTCCTGTTCAACTACGTAATACAATATTTTGATGATTCACCATTCCATGCTGACCTCAAATGTTCTCACAGTTTCCATGAATTCTCAATATTATTCAATATTTCTCATGGGGGCGAGTCAAATACCATATTTCGGGGAATCAACATCCATTAACCAGCTATTTTTAGGATAGGGTGCCAGGCTATCACAAACATAACAATATTTCCCATGGCTCCTTCCATCTTCAAAACATGATATTTAGTGGCCATGTCAGGGACCCCATATGTAAGGCCTATGTAAGGGCTAACTTTCCGGGAACCTGCCTACCAAATATGGCCTGAATGGTACAAAACCTCCACTTTAGGGTCCTGAAAATTCGATGTAGTGATGATTATAAAATATATAGAAAATAGAGTTTTAGCATGATCAGCCATTTATAACTCGCTTAAAAGAAACCTTGAAATGATCTGTTTCCCCGTGAAGCACCAAGGCGCAGTCATGCCAATAAGGCCACGAGATTGGATGCCCGAGGACCTCGTCGGACATGGGATGGGATATACTGGTAATTTGTTACAGTTTGCTATTGAAAATGGCAAGGTTCAGTTGATTTACCCATGAAAAATGTTGATTTTCCATAGTTATGTAAACGTTTACCAGAGAGGGTATCCCGAAGGTGAGGAGAACATTAGATAGCTAAGTTGACCATAACATCTTGCAAATTTGAGGTGAATGATATGGTTTACGGGGGATAGTGGTTACTGGGGTTACAAAATTACAATGGGGGGACCTCATCTTCCACAATGGGGATATGCCAAGTGGAATGGGTCGTTCAGACAACTTGGACCTGGATTATGGGAAACCAAACAATAATTTTATGGGAGATATTGGGCATTTTTGGCATTTTTGGTGGGGGATATACATTTGGTGTTTTGTTACATAATTGCGGAATAAATTGCCCATTTAATTCGATGATTAACCTCCTAGCAATGTTGATTTTCCACTTTTTGAAAAAACAAGGGCACGGCTGTCTTTGCTGTCTTAGTAGGAAGGCGTAGGTATGCCATAGTCAAGTTACATAGGGATAGTCATAAGTGGTGCCCCATAGCAAACTTGGTTCACGACTGATCTCATTATATAGGGTCTCTGGTAGATCTATCAAACTAGTTAAATGATGTTAAATGGGTCTAACCAAAAAACATTTTTCTATGGGGATTCTTTGATTGTATCCGATTGTATCTCCATGATTCTTGATTGATAGCCTCACTTTTCTTGAAAAAATCGCCATAATTGATATCCACTAAAAAAAGAAATGGTGGCATCTCCACAGATTCTACACCAAACCCAGGCCCCGGTCGTCACGTCCCAGTGACTTGCTATGGCACTCACTGTGGTTTGACAACCTTGGTGCACCGACGGCATCCCGTGAAATAATCCCAGCAGCCCCAGCGTTTCATAGGAATCCCTAATAGTTACAGTGCTGGTGCAGGATTTCGCAACCATCCGCAGTATATATAAATATAAACAAAATATATTTGTATATATAAACATATAAATTTATATCCATGAATATCCTATCATTTTTCAATTATTCTCCCATTAACTGCCATTTACCTCCGGGGCAAATTATAATATGTCAATCACCTGAAACTTAAGGCCATTTGGGGATGACTCTTCAGATCCGAATCACAATTCCAGTGAGGTCGCAGTGAGGTTGTTATAACTTACCAGTAATTATATATAATATACATTTTTATGATTTATATGTATGTACACAGGAATGATAATGAGTATGATAATGGTTTTAACACTGGGGGTAATGGGTATACTACAGAATCGCTATCATGGATACTCAAAAAATGGTCTATATATAATTATATATATTTATAAAAAACAAAAATGATCATAAATGGTTATAAATGGGCGTATAGTCCAGTCATTTTTTTAATATGCATTGTTTCACAATTTGTCATCTATTCATAAAAGTCGTTCACGTTTCGCAGAACCCGCCTAATAACCTTTGTGTTCACTGCTGTGGAATGGATGGCTCTCGCTGGAAGCTCTCAACGATACTATCCCGATGTATGTATACATACATGCAATAATTACATACATACATACATCCATCCGTCTCCAAACAAACGTACATACATACATACATACAAACATACATACACACAGACATACATACATACCTACATACATACATACATAAATACATTAATTACATTACATACATACATACATACATACATACAAACAAACAAACAAACTTACATACATACAAACAAACAAACAAACATACATACACACATACATACACACATACATTACATTACATTACATTACATTACATTGACATTGACATTGACACTGACACTGACATTTACATTACATTACATTACATTAAAGTACATTACATTACATTAAAGTGCATTACAATACATTACATTAAATTACATTACATACTTACATACATACATTAAATTTTATTACATTACATTACATTACTTTACATTACATTTACATTACATTACGTTACATTACATTACATTACATTGCATAGCATGCATACATACATACATACATGCGTACATACATACATACATACATACATACATACATTTAATAACATAACATAACATGACATTGAATTACATACATAAATACATACATACATTACATTACATTACATTACATTACATTACATTACATTACATTACATACATACATACATACATACATACATTACATTCATACATTAAATTCATACATACATACATACATACATACATACATAGACAGATAGATAGATAGATAGATACATAGATACATGCATACATACATACATTACATTTCATTACATTACATTAAAGTACATTACATTACATTACATTCCATTACATTCATTACATGCATTACATTCATTACATGCATTACATACATACGTACGTACGTCCATGCAAACATACATAAACACACACATATATGTATATATAGATTATTTCAATCTTTAGCCTCTTAACCTGTGGGCCTTGTGGACCATGGAGGGAACTATGGAAGGGACTATGGAAGAAACCAGGGCAATAAGGATATCTTATAGAAGGTGATGATAGAAACCATGTCAAGAGAAAATTAACAAGCTTTTGAAGAAGCAAAGAAACAAACCAATGCACACAGAGAGGACACATCCAGATTCATCAATCTGGGTTTGCACTCAAAGTCGTGAAGTATTTGACCAAAATGGAATTTGTATTGTGGTCCGGTGATGAATTCAGTTTTACTAATAACAAAAACTTGCCATCGATACTTTATACATATCTGATCCACAGTCTATAGATATAAATTCCGATTGTGAGATTGGGGTGAAGTTATATTTCGTTCTTTCTTTTGAAAACTAAATCTACTTAGGTAATCTTAGGTGCAAATAGAATTTTACTTAGGCCTCACAAACTGACGCATAAGTAGAATTCTTTTTTTCGCCCAGGTAGAGTACGCATTCCAAATTCTAGTCTGGGGCTGTTGGAAGACATAATTCATAATCTACTTGGGCACAATAGAATTCTACTTAGGCGTCACAAACTGACGCCCAAGTAGAATTCTATTTGCGCCTAAGTAGATTCTTCCAAATTCTAGTCTAGGGCTGTTGGAAGACATAATTCATAATCTACTAAGGCGCAAATAGAATTTTACTTAGGCCTCACAAACTGACGCCTAAGTAGAATTCTATTTGCGCTCAGGTAGATTATGCATTCCACATTCTAGTCTGGGGCTGTTGGAAGACATATTTCATGATCTACTTGGGCACAAATAGAATTCTACTTAGGCGTCACAAACTGACGCCTAAGTAGAATTCTATTCGCGCCTAAGTAGATTATGCATTCCAAATTTTAGTCTGGGGCTGGCATTGGGATGAAAATATGGTTTGCTCTTTCTTCTAGATGGGAGAAATACTATGAAATACTCAGGCGACAGAAACAAACGCTGAAGTGGAATTCTACTTGCATCTAATTAATTTTCTAGTGTGAGACTGGGCTAAACTCAGATTTGATTACTTAACAACCCTTCCGTGTAATACTGGAAACCTTGAACAAATGCACAACCCGCATACAGATAGTGGGTTTAATTTATGCTGCATTTGTTTGAGGGAAGATTTGGGCGATCTAAGCGCAATTGGAGAAACACTTAGGTGGGAGGAACAGGCGCTGAAGTCGAATTCTATCAATGTGCAATTTCAATTATTTGGAAGGCAGTCCATGTGTGTTTGGGCGCGCTGAGCTGGCTTCTGCAATGTGTTCAGGCTGTTGGGATTATGTGACTTCCCTTTTCAAAAAAAACAGAGGCAATGTTGATTGTTGGCTGCATTCCCATTGCTGTCTTTTTCCCCACCAGTTCTGGACTGGATCAAAAGTATGCAGTAGCGGTAGCAGTGCTACATCCAGGCTATATTGTTGGTGTTTTGTCACTCTGGCAAGACTGTGACTACCGTGCTACTACCCATACAATAAACAAAATAGCTGCCAATAATTTCTTGGACCATGATTTGATACTTTTCAGAATATATAGCGCTAGCAGTGGGGTTCTTGAGGGTGATGATGGGTTACTTTCAGGTTGGAACTAATGCACCCGGAATGGCTCAACCTTGTCCGTGCCTTCCTACTCCTGGGATTCTTGGCACAGAGAACCAATTTACGTGTCAATTTTCTTAGCGCAGAGGTCTCCAGAACGGTTCGGAACGGTTCTGCAGACCTTAAGTTTGCACGGAGATATTTCCCCACAGCTTCCAAACCCCCCAAAAACTGTCAAGAGCAGTTCCTCCTGTTTCGTATTTTCAAAACCTTCCAAAGAGCCGCCCTGAGCTCCAATGACCAAGGCTACAAGAGCAAGGTGTCAGAAAAACAGCAAAGGGAAGGGAACTTCTCCGCCCATTTGTAAGTCTCTGAACAGGCAGTGCAAAGGCATGCTGAGCACAAGGGAGAAGGTGGAACTGGATGTAGACTACAACAGGCTGGAAGTTTCTCAGCTGTTTGTTCATGGAAGGCGTGGCCCCTTTCAAAATCTTGCCTGTCTTGAAAACTGTTCTGTGGAATCTTTTCTAACAAAATCATACAACCGTGTAGTTTGTATTGAAATGTATCCGTTTGAAAGTAGCACTTGTGTTGACTCATCATTGCCTATGATGACTATTTGTTTAATTTCAAACTCTATTGATTAAAGCTAGACATATAGTTAAAGTATGCTATTATATGGAGGTCTCCGGAACCGTTCCGAACCGTTCTGGGGTCTATTGGCTTTGAATCCGGAACCGTTCCGGTGTTGTGGTTCACACCAGCAGCCAATGATTCTGATGCCCTTGCCATGTTGTTGACTGCCGCTCCCACGGCCTCTAGGCTACGGCAAAGGTCCTGCTGAAGAGTATGCGTACTCTTGATAAGGGTCTCAAGCTTGTCCGTCGAACCCTTCAGCGCAGCGACCATCGAAGTGATTCCCACAGCCAAGCCCGTGGTAGAGTTCAACAGGTCCGTCGCATCACTGTGGTCAGGTGCTTCATGCATCCTCAATCTTGGAGATCTCGATCTGTCATCATCTCTTCCAGCATCTCTTTCCTCTTTGTCTTCCTTGTCTTCTCCATGCACATGAGCAGTGTCCTGCTCTCCCTCTTTCTCTGATTCAGTCTCATCATTTCCTGCTCGTGCCGTCACTGGTGGATTCTCAGACAAGGGAAATTCTCCTGCTTCCGCTGGAGCTGCCGGGGCTGCTGGAGCTGGCACGTTCGCTGCCATGAATTGTTCGAGTCTCCTAGACAAGGCCTGATGCACTCGACATATGAAATCAACAGGAATCCAAATTTAAGAGACTAAGGTTTGAAATAATATATAGATGCATTTATGCATGAACCCATCCATCCATACATAGGTACATACAATAACTTTCATACAAAAACTTGCATACAATAGCATACGCACATTACATACATGCAACAACATAAAACAACAATACACTACATTACATCACATTCCATTAGAATGCAAACGAAACCACAACATACCATACCATGCCAAAACAAGCCACACATTACATACATGCATACATACATACATGTGTATATATATATTACATATATATATATATACAAATTCACGCCTACATATATATATACAAGAATTACATACGTACATTCATACACATTTAATTACAAACATGCATACATACACGCATTAATTCCATACATCTTGTTTACATTAAATACAGTAATTACATCAGTTGTCAATTACATACAATACATTGATCACATGAATAAACAATAAATCACACAACACATAAATCACATTAATTACATTGGTTAGAAAGGATTAATGTAAAAAACAATATTTGCAATAATTAAAAGTTTTTAATAATTACATACATGCATGCATACATACATAACATCACTTATAAAACAATACATAACATCACAAAACCAAACATTACATTACATACATTTCGTTTACAATCATTAACGTTAATTTACAGTAACATATACTAGCATACACAAACATTAGCACACACACACATTACCATAGATACATTAAATTACCTTGCATTACCTTACGCTACATTACACTACACTACATTACATTACATTAAATTACATTACGTTACATAAATTACCGAAACAGTACATAACAAAACACAGCATAGCATAGCATTACATTACATGTTATCAATTACCAAAACATAACAAAACAGAACATAGCATTGCATTACATTACATTGCTTTTCATACATAATTAAAATAGATAAATACACATAAAACATGTTGTCGCCCATGGGGACCATAGCTGGTTTTACTTGGCGGTTCACCTTACAGATCGTAGGTCGTTAAATAACCCGCGAGTTTCGGGGACTTACCAGGCCATGGTCACAACCCATGAGCACTTAAGGCTAGAAGGCTAGGGATGTCTGGTAGAGAATTTACACCTTTTGGGTGTTTAAAAACATTGATACAAATACACACATATATATATAGATATAAATAAATAAATACATAAATAAATAAATATAAATAAATATAAATAAATAAAAAATATATATAAATATCGTATATATATATAAATATAAATAAACCATTTACAAAGCATTTTGCCTACATTTGGCCTGTCAAACAAAGTCTCAAAACTCACCTGCGGCCCTCTTGTGATTTGCCCCTCAGATCAGCCTCCACATTGGGAGGAGCTTTTGGGTTCCAGGCTGTTTTTCTCGCGCCATCATTGTAGTTTTCATTACCGTGCGTAAAATATATTGAGACATTGGTCTAGAATCTAGACCCTTCAAATACCCTCTAAACATCGGCAGAAATATTACGCTTAGTAAACATGTAAAATACCGCCCATGTATGATCCATCATCTGGTCCATGGTCAAAACATGGCATGCGTGTTATGCTCATCCATATTATTTGGGAATCGAAACATCATGACTACGTTTAACCCCTTTTTAATTCATGGATCAATGTTTCCCATCCCCCAAGGTCTGGGTTATACAATCCAACTTTTGACGGAATCCTGCGCGAGCGAAATCGCAACATCAACGACCCTTCCCGGTTAAGGGAGGCACGAGGTGCAAGGAGAGGGGTGAACCCAGAATGGCAAGCACTCAGCTAACTACAATGTACTGGCCGTATGCCAGGGAAATGCCACACCAAGGGAAGCAGTTGACAAACCACATCGCGCGATTGCCCCTTGCCGAGTGAAAAGACAATGTGACTATGGCAGACAGAATATGTTGTCAGAGCTTCTTCGAGGGACGATCAAGGGATCATTGACCTCCGTGCCAATAACCAAAGTCTCACACGCATGCGGGGAACAACATCAGCCAAGCCAAGAACCTTGGACCACGGGATGTCTAAGTTCCAACTAGCAATCCAATCCTTGACAGCATGCCCATGGTCATGCTGCAAGAGCCCGAATTGTTGTTCAAGGCAAAGGCCATGCCTCCAACAAGCGACAACAAGGCAACTGCAATGCAACTCAGTCGATGTCGGTCTGTGATGTCGTGAGGACATCTACACGTAGCCAGGCACAAGCTCCGAAAGCGATCGTTCAGGTTTGAACCACCGACACACCCAACACAACCTCCAAAGATCCCTTCGAAATTAACCACAAGTCCGAAAGGACACAAGAAGTACTGTAGTGACATGGGCAGATGGTCGGTGCTGCAGAGGATTGTGGGGAAACGACATGGGTAAAGGGGCCACCTCCCCACCTCGCTGCGTGGAAGCCTGAGCCCAGAGGCTATCCAACTTTTGACCATGGCACATAGAATGTAGTTGGGATAATACATGAAATCAACTAGGAATAGATCATGATAAGAATATACAGGACCTGCTGGGAAAATGCTTGACCATCCCCCAATATTTGTTATCGTGAAATATCAGAGTACATCATCCAATTTTGCTTCTAGTTGGGTATTTGTATATATCTATATATATATGTATATATATTATAATTATATAGTTACATATATATATATATATCCCCATTCATATCTCAGCCATTCCCATTAATTAAATCCAACAGCTTCATCCTTTCTGGCCTTTCTGGTGATCCCCAAAACGAAACACCCATGGTATCCCAGCGTGCTCCGCACCTGGCCACCATGAACTCCGGCTTTCTGCTCCGACTCCTGGGAACAACATCCCCGAACTTGCTACGAAAAACATGGGAACACTATTGGACAAAATTGTGGGATATATATAATATATATATATATATGAACATATGAACATGTGTGAAAATCATCTGTACATGGAGGTTTTCATGAGAACATCATTGAACTATGGCTATGGTATTTTCCAGAGAACATCATTGTGAAGTCACTGGCGCAGCCGGAGACAAACCCGGTGAGACCCAGATGGAAAAAGACAGCTTTGAACCAGCAAAGGGCTGAAGCCCAGTAGACAACCAAATGAATAGACAAATGATGGGGGCTGAACCAACTCAAACCAGCCACGATTTGCTTTTAGAGAATTAACGGCCTTGAAATGTTGACAAAGCGGCAGCTAAACTACAGATGTTCCTGGAGGAATTCCGGACAGTGGATTGGTGTTGGAATTATGGACCCCACTTGCAAGGATGAAGACCCATGAAAGACCTATCAATCACCGGATCTTTGCTGGTGTTCTGGCTTTATGTTCAAATCTATATATTCTTGGTGATTTTAGCTGCGCTTTGGCGGCCAGACTTCCCCCCTTCTAATGGTAATCAATGGAGAAAATCCCCAGTTCAGTTCGATGATTATCCCAGCTAGAAACCTCCATGACTTCGTACGCGGGGATTGATATCGAACAGCCATATATATATATTATGATGAAACAAGCATTGCGAATAGCCATGATTATTCATCCCACCATATATAGTCCCATTCATCCTACTTTTTCAGGCCATATTGACATAACATGAGCTTCGCCAAAGGCACAAGCACGGGTCACTTCTCCGACGTTCAGAGATCTGACGAGATACACCGACACCTGGAAGCACGGCTCAAGCACGGCTCATATGGAGATGTTTCCGCCCCAGAAACCATAGGAAAACCATAGGAAACTGGTGATCTAAGCAACAAAGAATAGGGATCACAAATGGGATCATAGCTGGTTTGTGATAGCTAATTTGGGGGGCCACATAACTCCTATTTCACTATTTCAGCATGGTTTATGATACACAAATAATAATAGTATTCATGGGGATTATAAACTTGTAGCTTGGCGGGGACCCACATTGTTGAGACTCAAAAGTATTGAAACTATGAGGTCAAATACAAATGTCTATGGGTAACTACTGCTTGGAGGGTCCAGGTTCTTTAAGTTTCACACAGCTCTAAACTACTGTAATACAATTGGGGTTTAAACGAGATGTTCTCCATGGTTCACCATAGTTTCTGATGTTAAATCCCAGTACAAAATATGCGCGGTATATTCATGTATATTGCTGATCATTCATGATCTCTGGTGATTTACCAAAGTACTTCACCCATTATTGGGGGTTGATCCGAGTTGATCCCCTCCATAAGATAGGATCACTTCTCCTGACAAATCACCAATTTTTTTGTGCTGGTGAAGTTCCGAATATTAATTTCTCCATACCTGCCTGAATTCCATGGACCATGGTTTGTCCAATAAATTCAGGAGAAATCCCTGAGTGACTTTGATGATATCCAGTTGTGCTTTTTCAATACAAAAGCTGCGAATCATACTGTGAATGGTTGTGAAATCCTGCACCAGTTGGTGGATTGTCTAGGTTTTCAACCATCTGAGGTTGTTCTGGATTTCGCAACCATCCGCAATATGATCCCATGATTGCTGGTGATGTTCCAGGTGATTTTCCCCTCGTGGTTGGCAAAAAACATGTACGTTACCCATGTTCAAACAATTCCAAGTCGTATATAGTTGATTAGAATTATATAGATTTAACCCATATACCCATGAATATCACCAGAATACGATACCACCATGTTTCCATATAATGACACAATGATATACAACCTAGAAAACCCAGTATTAAACCATCACCAATATCACCAGGAATAGGTGAGACATAATAATCCCATTGCCTGGTGGTTTCTGAGGTTACCACATTTTACCACATTTTACAAAGTGGATGTTCCTGGCTGCCAGGTTTGTCACACACCAAGAAAAATCCGGGACCATCCGGCAGGTCCTTGTGGAGTCACTGACAACAGCGTGCCCCCGTGGTTGCCTGACGGGAGCAAGTAAAACATTCAAAGATGGTCAAGGCATGGCCGGCATAGCTAAGGATATGAAATGGGGTCATTTGATGATATTCCTGAACACATTTAAGATTAAAACAAATGGGGATGTTTGTAGGTATCTTAGATTTATACTAGTTACTAGAAGCTGCCACAAGGGCGAGGATATGTGAGGGATATCCAAGAGATTTATGGGATACCTTCTGAGGATGTATGGGATTTAAAATGAATATGGCGATATAATGGCATAGAATGGGGATTTATGATGTTCATGAGAGATTATTCACAAAAATCCACGGGGATATAGCGGGATAATGCTGGGGTATAACGGGGATAATCATGGGGTATAATCATCCCGTTCATAATTTCAATGCCCATGAAACATATCCTCATCAATGGGGATTCTCATTTCAAATGGAATGGCAGCATTCCAAACCACCAACCACCTATAATTTCACAACAAAACTGTGCATACCAAGATATAAATAATCGTAGAAACACTGACAATGTTGGACTGGAAAAGAGTTATCGTCCAGGAATGTATATGTCCAAAGGTCATATGGCAACCCGCAGAAATAAGTTTCTTCCAACATTTCCTACCATTGTCACAAGCATGTTGGGGTAGACTGGCGTTCACACGTTGCGTGATTTTTTGTTGGTCACCAGGAGTTCACCAGTCCCAGGCTGAAGGTCCAACGGCCCTTGAGGATTTCCGAAAAGTTCCGCAGAAGACAGTAATGGTTGAAGCTGTTAAGCCCACAAACGCGCAAATGTGTGGTAGTAAACCATGATTTCATTGGGTCATGCTTGAGGCATAACCAATTCGTAAAATAATACCCTGATTACGAACAGCTGTCCATGTTTGTGTGTATTCTTCCAAACTGTTGGTATCGTACCAGTAAATGCAGTACATATCAGCGACACACCTCATGACAATGATGATGGTGATGATGATGATGATGATGATGATGCTGATGGTGATGATGATGATGATGAAGATGATGATGACCATGAACACAATGGAGTACTATGATTATCACGACGACAATGACGATCCTGCTGCTGCTGCTGCTGCTGCTGCTACTGATGATGTTGATAATGATGATGATGATAATGATGATACGTGAGTGTGCCCCATGAATGCATGATGTTCCTACATTTACTATATCTAACCTGGGAATGTACCAGCCACGGGCAAATGGACAATTTGCAAATACATATCCATTTTGAAAGCCTAACTATGCCTCAGCAGCAAATTCATTTCCACCCACATTTTATCTCCACATCTTGGAATCAAACTTATATTCTGTATTGTTTGTTCGCCATCAACTACAAATTCATATGTATAATGATATATGATATATATATATGCAGTATCACTGTACGTATATACATATATATACATGTTGATATGATCCCTTGATGTTGTATAAGCCTTTCACTTTGCAGTTTACCCAGTGACCTGCTTCCAGCAACGTCGATTCCGCTGTGCCTGTTCCAAATTGCGATAGCACACTCAGAGAGACGTTCTGCAAAATGCTGTGAGGACTGCAATCCTCCTTACTACCTTCCTTGCTCTCCTCCTGCCACGACAGGATTTGTTCAGCAAATGTACAAGCAATCAACCTTACGTTGGACAAAGACCACTTAAAATCAGGGGAGTGGGAGTTCAAGCAGCCCCAATAATGGGGGATTACGAGTTGGAAATGTAACGCCAGAGTTTCTTTTATTGGTGCTTCGTGCAGGAACCCACTGTTGGACAAACCCCAGCAGTGGGGAGATCCCGAAACGTGGACTGTACGATGCCCAACAAACTACCACCGGTCTAATGATGATAAGAGGAAGAATCTCCAAATGGCCAAATACATCCAAATACAATAAGTTCAGATTGGTGAATGATGAATTCAGCCTTATGTGAGAAACAAAACCAAATTCCTTGACTGTGATCCTCAGTTGATCCCAAAACATGTTAGAATTATACAGGAAGGGAGGGGGGGCCCACTTTACAAGCTGATTCATAAACCAATCCACTATCCACGATGAAAAACAAATGTTTAAGCTACTTATGCCTTATGCAAATAACATTTCCTGTTCTTTGGGGAATTAGATGTCGCCAGAATTAGTTTGTAATTAACTTGTTCCTTTTCCCTTGCTACATCCCATGTTCTTCAAGTGGTAAACCAACTCACTTTTGAGTCGAAGTTAAGTAAGTTCCATGTCATCCAGAGCACATCTTTGTTTTCAAAAAATATAGGTGACTAGAGCTTCACGATTTCCCATCAATGAAGTTTAGCCTCAAAATTAAGTGCTACTGATTGCCAGTGTACGCCAATATAAATCAATCATGTCAACATCGATGTTTTACACCCTGGTTGATGAATTGGGTTACCAATGAAAGAAGGAATAAGTTATCACAATATGCTACATCTCCAACTATTGAGGATCCATCTAGCCCCAAAACGGCTAAACATCTCAAAACATCTATATAATTAGATCTGTATTGTTATCATCTATTAATTTATAACTATAAAATACAATTGACAAATAGTTACTTAAACATATGTCAAAACGAAAATCTAGATCTGTATGGCTATAAAATCTGTATGGCTACTTAATGGTTCAACCCAGGAATTGTGACCGCAAGTGGGTTGCCTCTCCGGCAGTCAAACATTACCGTGCAGATTTTCTCCCCCATTGATCATGCTCAATTGGGGCTAAAATCACTATATATATATAGTTTTGATGTTAATCAACATTAATCAACTATAGATGTTGCAACGTATTCGAACTATCATGACTAATGTAGTTGATTATAGTTATTCATGACTAACTACCAGTACAAGTGATTATGACCATAGTTAACTACATTAGTCATTAATTGTTACATCTGCAGAATTCTATCACTACAGTTAATTATAGATGTCGTATTTTCATCAACGATAATTATCATAATACGAACAAAATCATATTCCAACAAAATATGAGTAACTATAGATAATCAACTACCACTATAGATGATTATATATATAGAGAGATATACAGAATTACATACATAGATACATACATAATCATACATACATACATAAATATATATATATATATATATATATCAAATATAGAGTATCTATGGCCGTTTCCCTCGATCTCCTTGACCATGCTGGGCAACGAGGGTGGCTGGGACTGCGGCGCCGATGGAGCCTCCGGAGCCTTGACTCGCGCGCCGAGCTCGCCGAGCGAACCGGAACCGAGGCGGCGCGCCGGGCGCCCGGCTGAGTGAAAAGTGCGTCCAACATGCTGATTTCACCCAGAAAAATATGGTTTTCACATGTTTTCACCCAGAAAAATGGAGATTTCACCAAGCAAAATGGTGATTGAATGGGATGTATCCCTGATTGATGATAGCCAAGTTGACTTTTACAAAGACAAAAAAAACGAATAGACAAAATCAAATTGAAAAGGAATTTAGAACTATGTACCACCGTTTCTATTGGGTAAGTTGGTTGAAATAGCCTATTTTTTTGGTCAACTGGGGAAGAATGATATGATATATCATGATATACCAGCTGAGAATCCAGGAAAATCCATTGGGACTTATGGGATTTCAAGCAGCAACAACTTTTTTTCACCGCATGGGGATGTCACATGGGTTAGACAACGGTTTTGATATAGGTTTTGAACCAAGGAAGGATTTGAGGACGTGCCAGCAAACATGAGATTTAAGTATCTTAACTCGTCGACATTGAGATTCCATCCACAAGAATAGAGATTGATGGAGCCAACAAATGTTAGGATGTAAAATGCCAACACTATTTGAGTGACACAGTATTTGGATTAAATACTGTCAACATTTAGCATGTGGATTGGTTGCCCAAGGAAACATTGGATTTGGCCAACAGCCAGTTAGGATTTCACTGGCAAAGATGGGATTTCCGCAAAACAAAAAATCTGACCAGTGAACATCACATTGAGTCATCAATACATGATCCCAGACGTTCCTATACATAGTCGTTTAAGTTATCGTTTGTTTGTTTTTACGATTTGATTTTGCAGGGTTCATGTATTCTATAATTGCTTCCCAAACTGAAACAGAAACAGAACTGCATGTTTTCTCAGAAAGGTAAGTCTCTTGTGATCTGGGTGATAGCCCGACCCATTCTTTTTGAGAAACAAGAGAAAAATACGTATATTGATCTTGTCCTTAATCTGTACATACAAATAATGTATGGGTAAATATCATTGAACATCCATCCGTAGTGGTCCGTAGTGGGATATTTCGCTTGCAATGCGATTATGACTGGAATGATCATTGGGAAAAAAGTCAATGACTTTTTCATTCCAATCATTCCATTTTGAATGATAATTGGAAAAACAATGCCTTGGTTCCCCTCATTTGGGTATAAATCAATACCTATTAGTGTCAATTCTAATGGGATGAACATCCATTTACCAGCTATTTTGGGGTTCACCAGGGGTACCAGGGTTTTGACCCATCCCCATTTTGAATGAGGATTTCCATTGAGAGCTCGCCATGTTTCCCGACACCATTTGGTATTGTCCGGACGAAGTCAGAGCCCTGGATGATAGAGGTAGGTGAGTAGCGAAATGGCCATATTTTGAAAGAAATTTCCCTGAAATTTAGCCCTCAAAAATAGGCCTTATATATGGATGTATAATGATGTATATGGTAGGTACCTCCAATTTAGGTTCCCGAAATGGCGATGAAAGATCATGAAAGTACTTCCATGGAATAGTGAAGGAGAATGGCTTCCAAGTGCTATGGAATTCCTCAGCAAGGTTGAGATAGTTATGCTGGCAGTGCTGACGAAAGACCTGCGTGCTCAGACTACAGGGTATTGAACAGTGGAAGGGATGACATTGGATTCTTCTTACACGGTCTGTTTTTTTTGGGGTTTCAACACATCATAAATAATTGATACTTTATATGATGATTCTTTTTTTTGGTGATTTGAAATTCATCAGTTGAAATCGCCAGCAATTGAATAGCTGGTTGGTGGTTTCAACCCCTCTGAAAAATAGTAGTCAATGGGAAGGATTATCCCATATATTATGGAAAATAAAACATGTTTGAAACCACCACTTTGTCCACTTTGACTTGCACACTGCCTTAGTCTCGAAAGCAGTGCATTGACTGTGGCTGATACGGGACAATGTCACACCGGAACAAGCAGGTGATCCAAAACCCTAGTTGACCGTCTAACGGGAACAGCACCTAATTTGAGAAACCACCAGTCAGCGTTCTCCGACCGTTCCTTCGAAAATGGGTTCGCCATACAGCTGGCATGCATACATATCATGTGGCTCTGTGGCCTACAGTACTGAGACATCACGTCGAGACATCACGTCGAATTTGGCATGGCGGCAAATTTCACAGAACGGCAGCTGTACAAAACGGAGACTGGAGTTGAACGACTGCAACTTCCGGGAACCAAGTTGTGTCTCACTCATGGCCCAAACATCCCCACGGGACATGTTCGCAACAACACAACCAGCATCGCTTTGGAGACCCGAAGGGTTGGCAGTTTCCAAAACAAAATTGGTATCACAAAAGGCATCCACAGGACCCGGGGGGAAGGCTTCCCCGACCCTGACAACACTGAAAGACTCAAGAAGCACAACCATCTTCGTTTTGGCAGACGACCATACTCTCTCATAAGACAGTGCCGATGCTAACCCCATAATCAGAAAAACAAAGTCGGGCACCAGAGCCACCATAGGCCAGTAAACTGACAAAGTAGCAGTCCTGACACTGCACCAACCAGATGGCTCGCGCCCTCCCCATCATTCACCTTCCTCTCTCAGACGCATTGACACCACACCCCAAATGTGAGAGAGCTGGGTCCCCAACATAGCTTGAATACGAGTCTGCGTTTCAATCTGCCCATACAACTGCTGATCCTGAGATGGCAGCTGGGTTTGGAGGTAGTTCACACGCTGGGCCTGATGGTCAGAAACTTCCACCGATTGGCCATCCATCTGAGACAAACCACTGCAAGCATCAATCTGTTTGAACAAGTTCGCCCACGATGGCACAGCAGGATGGAGCACCAGGAGCATTGACACCACACCCCAAATGTGAGAGAGCTGGGTCTCCAACATAGCCTGAATACGAGTCTGCGTTTCAATCTGCCCATACAACTGCTGATCCTGAGATGGCAGCTCGGCTTGGAGGTAGTTCACACGCTGGGTCTGATGGTCAGAAACTTCCACCGATTGGCCATCCATCTGAGACAAACCACTGCAAGCATCAATCTGTTTGAACAAGTTCGCCCACGATGGCACAGCAGGATGGAGCACCAGGAGCATTGACACCACACCCCAAATGTGAGAGAGCTGGGTCTCCAACATAGCTTGAATACGAGTCTGCGTTGCAATCTGCCCATACAACTGCTGATCCTGAGATGGCATCTGGGCTCGGAGGTAGTCCACACGCTGGGTCTGATGGTCAGAAACTTCCACCGATTGGCCATCCATCTGAGACAAACCACTACAAGCATCAATCTGTTTGAACAAGTTCGCCCACGATGGCACTGCAGGATGGAGCACCATGGTGCTGGCTCCACAGGCATTGGCAGGAACCAGGAACTGTCGCCCCACCACCGCATCAATCAGTGTTACTGAGTCATGACCCCCTTCCAAAAGTCCACTGTACTTGACCAGGTTGCCAGTTGCTCGAGTCCGAAGCAAGTGACTTTCAAGGGAGGAAACAAAGACCACAACGTCCAAGACCAGACATATCTCCAGGGTCAGTGCCATGGCGAAAGCAAGGAACGTAACCATCAACGCTCAGCTGGGACGGCCGCACCAGCTGGAAGGTGTTGAGCCCGCGGCTTGTTTGAAACCACCAACCAGATAGGTCTCAACTGAATTCATCCATGAAACCCACACTTCATCGTCGCCCTCGGACAGGTTGGCTTTGGATTTCCTCAGAGCATGTTCCCAGATGGTAAAGCCGTTCATGGCTGGTCGGTACTCATGAGTTCATGTGTCAAGGGTTGATGATTGGATGACCAGTTTGGTGGCAAATGCCTATGTTCATTAGGCAAGTTCTGCTGTTAAATTACAATCTTGGTTGGTTCAAGTTTGTAACTATAGATACGTCGTTTTTATCTTGGTCAAAGGCAGATTTATTGGATTTTATTTGTATAATCCCGGCGTTAAATTCTTTGGACTAAAAAAAGGAACTAACTAAAATTTGCTCAACTAACTAAATTCCTTGAACTAAACTCTTTAAACAGCCGCATCTTGGGTTGAAAAAGCACTCACCCCCTGCAGAGTAGACCCAGCCATCCGCTTCCTGGACCAGCTTCCAGGTGTCTTCGCCCTCCATCACGGAATCCAGAGAAGATTTCCTGAGTTAATCGTCAATCTTTGGGGGGTCCAATATAGAAAATGTGTAGTTTACCACCCAATTAGTTATCATATTATAATATTATGGATAAACTATATAATTACTATACCATAACAATGTCATTACTATTTAATATACATACTATACCTAATTAATTATGTATTTATGGATAATGGTCAATCTTACTAAAAAACATACTGTACCCGGACCCATCATCATGAAAAAATCCCCTGGGGGCTGGGATTGATCCTTAAAAGCAAGCCACCCAAAGTTATGTCCAGGTCTTCCAGTTTACTCCAAGCTAAAGCCCGGAAAGAGATGGAAAAATCCTCCGCTTGCCAAAGATGTTTTTACAAGCGGAGTTACTAGGCTATTTTCGAAAGCCTCAATGGCTGAAAAAGATATGTTTTGAAGGTCAAGAGTCAAACTATATTTTAGATCTATTGGAAGAAATTGGAAAGGAATCATAAAAATGGGGCATGTCCTTTCCCCACTTTGACTTAACCCAAAAACCGCTGCTTCCCACCTGGAGCGTCCGTTTCCAGCGTGAGCGTTGAGCCCGACACCTACGCGTCAGCTCAGGGGGCAGGCTGAAACACTGGATGGGATTCATAGTTTCAAAAACAAACATGAAAAAACAGCTAAGTGGTCCTGCAAATAACTCCAACAGCTATGGTTTATGATACGCAAATCACATCTTATTATAGCAATCATGGGATTCATACAACCAACTTATAGCCGAAAAAGGGATAAACATCATAGGGGACGGATACCCGTGGACCGAAGATTTTGTTGTTTGTCGTTTGTATTAAACAATAGAACAGATATAATAACAACTATTATCTATCTATATAAAAACATATATATATATAACTATCCGTGTCCATCCATTCAATTGTCAGGCTTATATGCAGATTGCTGTCAATGATCAATCAGTTGCGGCAACACCGGCAGGACAGAAGCCGTAATCTTGGTTGAAACATCCTTGAAACATCCTGCGAATTGGAAAAAAAGGAAGGTGACTGAGGTTGTTTGCATACCCTTTGGTAATTTAACATACTAGCAACGGAAAATTGACCATTCGTAGATTTGATTTACCTCTTCAAAATGGTGATTTTCCATAGCTATATTAAATTACTAGAGCATTAGGAACAAATCTAAGGGTTCCCTTTGACTCACTTCTTGGGGAGAAACTCAACCCAACCGTCACATGAGTGAAAGTCAATTGGGACCGTCATGCCACTGCTGCCTTCCAGCAGATTCCGTTGAGATGCAAGGCCATGTGCCACGCTTTCCATCACAGCCTGCAAGTTTTTCAAGGCTCGCTGAAGTAGAAACAACCACTTGTGTTCGCAATCCACAGTCACAGTGACGCACCGTAAAGCCCAGCCTCAAAGCGGAGCAGAACGGATTGCACGTCGTGGAGAGCTTTGACTTGTTCCTGACCGGGGAAAATGATGGAACAGTGGTGAGTATCCCTAGTGATTGGATTTTTGTTCACCATCATTGCTGGTATCCCTATGATATCCCTATGATATCCCCATGATTGGAAAATCATCAGCAATCATGGGGAGCCTGCATAGGGATAGTCATGGGGATAGCCTGCAAAGGGATGAACCTCTTTGATGCACTAGCCTCCCCAAGTCCGCTAATTATAGCCATTCTTTTGCAAAGCATGATTTACCAGTGGATAGAGTGGGCTACTCTTTCTTAAGACAAACCCTAATATAGTTTTATTGTTATAATCCTATATTGAATATTTAGACTTAAGACAAGTAAGAATCAATCCATGTTTCTTCAACGCAGTAATTCTGGATAGCTACAAGAATTGTATTAATGGAGATGGAATGGGATTTCACCTCAGTTAACCATCACCATGGGAATACACAAGGATATTGATCATTGAGCAGTGGTCAGAGCCTTCTAACGTCCCTGTATACTGATTGGTTGATACAGGATTTCCCACATGGATTGTGATCATCCCATCATACTATAATTCTCAGCAAACCTATGGACATATTATTTAAATCCATGTTGCAGTAAATCCCTGTTGGGAAATTCTCTAAATCATCATGGCTGTGGTAAACCTACCCAACAATGACATGCTAAGCGTCCCGACGCTTGGAGATTCACATAAAATGCTAAGCTGCCCATAAAACCGGCCGGTTAAAACTTCCAGGTGATTGGAAGTTCCTAGGCCTCAGTGAATACCCATAAACAATTTCTATTTTTACCATACTTTCCCCGGTACCCCATAGTTTGCTCTACTTTTACCAGTTTTTCCCCACCTGCCAGGTGAGGGTTGTTAGATTTTATGTCAGTTGCCTCCTCCTGCCTCGTCCTCCTCCTCCTCTCCTCCTCTCCTCCTCGTCCTCCTCGTCGTCCTCCTCGTCGTCCTCCTCGTCCAACTGCGACCCGCGATCCACAGTGTTCTCTGTCGGACCTCAACCACGACCATCCACACCCAGTGTTCCCTGCCGGACCTCAACCACGACCATCCCCGCCCAGTGTTCCCTGCCGGACCTCAACCACGACCATCCACGCCCAGTGTTCCCTGCCGGACCTCAACCACGAGTATCCCCGCCCAGTGTTCCCTGCCGGACCTCAACCACGACCATCCACGCCCAGTGTTCCCTGCCGGACCTCAACCACGACCATCCACGCCCAGTGTTCCCTGCCGGACCTCAACCACGAGTATCCACGCCAAGTGTTCCCTGCCGGACCTCATGTAGGAAGATATGGGACAAAGAATGTGCAGAAGAAAGTTAAAAGAAAGAATGTTAGAAATGCCAGATAGAATCAGAATAGAATGCCAGAAGATATGCCAGATATGCCAGATAGAATGCCAGCCAGAAGATATGCCAGAAGATATGCCAGATAGAATGCCAGAAGATATGCCAGATAGAATGCCAGATAGAATGCCAGAAGATTTGCCAGATAGAATGCCAGAAAATATGCCAGAAGATATGCCAGATAGATATGCCAGAAGATATGCCAGAAGATATGCCAGATAGAATGCCAGAAGATATGTCAGAATATATGCCAGAAGATATGCCAGAAGATAGAATGCCAGAAGATATGCCAGATAGAATGCCAGAAGATTTGCCAGATAGAATGCCAGAAGATATGCCAGATCATATGCCAGAAGATATGCCAGATAGAATGCCAAATAGAATGTCAGAAGATATGTCAGATAGAATGCCAGAAGATTTGCCAGTAAGAAAATGTATAAATGTCATGGTGGGGATCACACGAAGTAAAGTAATTCGGGTCTTGGTCCAATGATCGTGTTGCTTGATTCAATTCTTCGGTTCACTTTGAAACTCAACATGATTTTCTTGGGAAAAAGGCAACTGTATGTATATGGTAAATTGAAATTATCAAGAAAAAACAGCATAATATATGTCCATCTTTTGTTGCATATATATATGGGGATGGGTCAAAACCCTGGTACCTAGTGAACCCCAAAATAGCTGGTAAATGGATGTTCATCCCACTAAAAATGTATCTATAGGTATTGACCCATAGCCATATATATATATAATATCCATATCATTCCATTGAAAAATCCCAAAAACTCACCACGTCACCGATCTACCTGCATCTCTTTGGTAAATTCCTGCCGTAGATCTAACAGGTCACGGCCAGACACTGAACCTGCGACTGGTCGAGATTTTTCGAGGGTTGGAAGGGTCGGTTTAAGCCAACTTGAACTTGGGGATGGGCACAAACAAAACTGGAGAAAAAAAACATCTAAGTGGGTATAAATACGTAAATACATCATGTATCTGCCATCTATAGCTGAAAATTGATCCCTAACCTACTCAGTCCAGGTTTACCCAAAGGGGACGAATTCCTGACTTGACCTTTTTATCCCTGGATCAAGTCGCTAAAAATAACCAGTCAAGTGGTAGTAGCTTGCAGCTTGGAATCGGAATTTTGACTTGTACATGTGTATCAAGTCACCAAGACTATTCAGTATAGAATCTGCAAGAAAATACCGAACTCTACCAAAAAAAAATGTGCCTACGGAAAACAGGAAACATCACCATAGCAGGACCATCTTGATTCTTGATCCATTTTGGATAACTTGGACGATCACTGAGCAGCTAATCAGCTGGTTAGCAAATTGGAGTCTAATCCAAAGCAGCTATGGGATATAAGGGTCTTCAGTCCTCAGTTGCCTATATCATCAAAGGGACATCCCCGTAACACCTAACGTCTACCGCTCGATCCCGACATGATCACGACAAAGCTCAGAGAATTGCCACATGTTGTGTGGATGTGTGTGGAGGTTTGATCTATTAGGCTAAGCCACTTATCCTAGCAGTATCTACTGTCCAAATAGAGGTTTTTTGTGAGATGTTCAGTAGGAGATGCAATATCCCCATAAGAGAATCACTGACCAAACACAGTGAAACGCCCATTGGCCACCCTTAGATACCCGACCTGAACAACAATCCATTTATAGCTGGGTAACGCCAGGTAATATTCCCCTATTTATGGTTAGAGAAAGGAAACACATCAACAGTTCAGTATCCATAGAATTTGCTATCAATCATTTCTCCTATATATATATATATATGGCTATTCAAATTACAATAAATTACAATCACGAAACTGGTGTTCATTGGATCGGTGTGTCCTAAAAGTGGATATACCCCGAACTATGGTTATATTTTTCCAGGGAAAATTATCATTGACCATCAAAATTTGGTGGTTTTCCCCTGAATTTTGAGACAAAACCAAATGATACCAAATGCTAAATCCACTCAACAAGTCTCAGATAGGAAAATTTTAACTGGAACCCCATGGAACCCCCATATTTCATGGGGATAAAACCTGGTTTCAGGTGAGATGTTCCCAACAAACCTAGTCCATCGAGTTAGATTTTTTACAAAACCGGCCTGCAATATGCGTCAGTGTCGTGGCTTCGTTGAAAGGTTCGTTCAAGAGATCCACATCTCCTTTCCACTGGCGCAGAAAAACAGTGTACTGAGGAATCCTCGTTGACCCGAAATTGGTAAAAGTAGCAGCGAATTGTGAACTGAATAGGGGCGAATTGTTATAGTTATATATATATATACATATAAGTAACTATATAATATAATATGCATATATATACTTTGCATTGGAGTGTCTAGGGTGAGGTTTAGGGGACAATTTAAAAGAAATCATATGGTTTAAACACCCAATTTCAAATTTATCCTGCAATTAGTCCCACCGTTTCTGGGACAAATTAGGTTGTTGATGTTCCATTCTGAAGCATGGTTAGTCCGAATTGTATAGCGATTGAATGAGGGAATTTAGGCGCAAGAAGCAATGTCCTGTGTCCTGACACTAAAAATCAGGGATAGAATGGGATAGATTCAAAAATATCATTCCCTTAATTTGTAAACCAATAATGATGAGAAAACCTCGACCGGGTACACTAAAAATGCAATGCAATATAGATTTGAGATTTTCTCATCAGCAACCTTAATGTGAAAAATCATTCCCGTACGAAGCTGCGCCCGGGATAACTTCCCCAATCTCACAACCGACGACGTGAGTTCGCAACATCATGTTAATATATATATATATGTAAATTGATATATCTATATATTATTATATGTAAATAGATATATACATGCCCGGTTAAAACATACACAATATATAATCTATACCAAGTCTAATATCTCTTCGTTTACCAGTAATAACCGTCATTTAAGACCACCAACCGTCACCAACCGAGAATTAACTGTGCAGTGGTTAATATTTGACTTTTTTTGCAAGCCGAGACGAAGGGAACAAATTGATCCCGGTTCTATGTGCAATAATACATGTATATATATATATATGTGTGCAGATATACGTATGTAATATGTAGATATGTGTATGTAGAAAACATATATATATAAATAAAAATGCAATATACTATACATAACTTAACTATATATATATACATATGTAGATATATGTGTGCAGCCCCAAAATGCCACTTTTGAGTAGGAAGAACTTCTTTGGACAAGTCAAACAAAGGGTTCGTATCATACACCCTGGAAATTCAATTAGCACGGAAACCTAAGGCACTTGTCATCCATTGTCCATGGATAAAATAATTCCCGGAATTATATTGAATAAATCCCATACTCAGCCATAGTTTCTGGATGTATGATATATAATAAGATATGTATAAATAATATTATATACATATACATATACATATATATATATTCTATATTATTTATTATATAATATATACTATATTATGTTCTATACCTGGAGGCAAGAACCACCTTGTTTGCAACATTCCCTCTAGTCTCATCAAACCTGACTGGAACATCACAAATCATTACAATTTTGCACCTAGGAGAATCAGTAATCATCAACACATGGAGATGTCTTTTCCGTTGTCAGTTTCGATTACATTACCAAAATCAAAAAGTAAACCTTGAACTTTACTTTGGAAAATTCAAACCTGCTCGGATAAGATTTCACCAAATTGAAGGAAACATGTAAAAACAAGCAGAATCAGGCAAACTAAGGCAAATGCCAAGTCAACAGTCAAACCCACACAATACAATCCCAATGAAGTCAGCCAAAATCCAAAAATAAAAAAAACATACACATCCTTAAAATTACGATGAAATCCCTTCACAGAAAAATCCTTTCAAAATTCCATAAGATGCACCAGCGCTCCACCACAACTCCCAACGATACTTACACATTTCCATAAATACACAAACACAAGGAAACACTATGCAACATCCTGTAAAGTTCCCATAAATTTTAACGTAAAATGATTTAGAATCCCCAACACAAATACACAGAAATAAACATTGCAACAACGCCATGTCACCATATGTCACCATGATATTAGATGCAATCACAAAAGCGTCATGTAACATTCCCATATATTCCCATTAAACATCCATACGCATAGGTAATATAATGTAATATAGACAATTCCAATACAAATCTCATAAAACATCCTATTTTCCTCCGGTAATCAAACGTGGCTGGCTGGAAAATCGAGGAAAACCTCCCATCCAAATAGAGGAAGACCTCCAGCCATGTTTGATACCGGAGGGTCCGGAGGGTACTTGGTGGCTCATCTTAGTAAGTGGGTTATACCCTCCGGTACTTTAACATAGCTATTGAAAATGGCCACTTATAGTGGATTTACCCATTAAAAAATGTGATTTTCCATAGCTATGTTAGTTTACCACAGGGTAACTCCAGTTATAAATGGGATAAGTAGACTTAATCCACAAAAAACACTGGGGTTATAATCCACTAAAGTGGGATGAGCCACTCAGTATGGGGGGGTCCCAAGTCATGGGTGGATGGTTTATAATGAAAATTCATGAAAAATCCATGTAAAAGTGGATCTGATTAACAGTGGTAGCCGTATTTTAGAAAACCTCATATGAATATATATATATATAGAAGAGAAGAGAAGAGGAGAGAAGAGAAGAGAAGAGAAGAGAAGAGAAGAGAAGAGAAGAGAAGAGAAGAGAAGGGAAGAAGATCACAAAAGAGAAAGTCTCATACGAAAGAAGATCCAGGTGCGCGAAAAGGTAGCGAAGTTGCAAAACACTGTGTTTATCCAATGATTTGTGGCTCCGGAGGGTCGAAAAGTAGGCTCGCTAAAGTGGCGGGTGCGGAGCAAGCTGGCCAGATGAGAGATGAAAAATTGCACGCCGTTGTCGTGGCGCGAAGCACATTTCGAAGCCAAAATGTACAAAACACACCAGGTCCGGACCACTTTTGGAAGTTGAGATGTCGAAAAAGTGCACGCCGTTGTGGCGCGAAGCACATTTCCAAGTCAACATGTACAAAACACACAATGTTCGGACCACTCTTGGAAGTTGCGATGTCGAAAAAGTGCACGGCGTTGTGGCACGAAGCACATTTCCAAGTCAACATGTACAAAACACACAATGTTCGGACCACTTTTGGAAGTTGCGATGTCGAAAAAGTGCACGGCGTTGTGGCGCGAAGCACATTTCGATGTCAAAAGTGCAAAAAACTGTGGGGTACAGAGCGCTTTTGGACGTTCAGATGCTTTTGCGTGGCAGGCGCAAGGGATTGTGGACCTTGTCAAAAATGAGCAAAACATGAGGGTTTTGTAGCATTTCCAAAAACAATGGCAGGCATGGGACATGTGAAGAGGATCTGCAAAGATGCATTTTCCGTGGCAGGCGCAATACAAGAGACATGTTGATTAGAGCTGTTAGGAGGTCCAGGCGCTGATTTCCTGAGAAGGGTGGCATTTTGGAGCATCAGATCATATCAGATCTTCAGGTTTGCTGAGATGATTTTGCATGACAGGTGCAGCACTTCGTATGACCCAGTATCACTTTTTCGTGGCAGGCGCAGTAGTTTAGGTGAGTCGAAAAATCGCAAAAACTCATTGGTACGAGGCCGTCAGCTCTGCACTCAACTTTCCATTTTTGAAGGAAGTCTCGCCGAATTGCTTCGTTTTTGATGTTGTCAACTTAAAAAATGAGGAAATCTCGCAGAATTGCTTCGTTTTTGATGTTGTCAAGTGCAAAAATTGAGAAAGTCGCTGAATTGCTGCGTTTTTGATGCTTTCAAGTTCAAAAACTGAGGAAGTCTCGCAGAATAGCTTCGTTTTCAAGCTTGCAAAAAGATAGATAGACAGACAGTCAGATAGATAGATAGATAGACAGACAGATAGATGGATTGATTGATGGGTAGATAGATTGATTGATTGATAGATTGATAGATTGAAAGATTGATAGATAGATTGGTAGATTGATAGATTCATAGATTGATAGATTGATAGATTGATAGATTGATAGATTGATAGATAGGTAGATAGATAGAGAGATAGAGAGATAGAGAGATAGAGAGATAGATAGAGAGATAGAGAGATAGATAGAGAGATGGATAGACAGATAGATAGATAGATTGATGGATTGATAGATTGATAGATTGATAGATAGATTGATAGATTGATAGATAGATTGAAAGATTGAAAGATAGATTGATAGATTGAAAGTTAGATTGATAGATTGATAGGTTGATAGATTAGATTAGATTAGATTAGATTGGATTAGATTAGATTAGATTTAGATTAGATAAGATAAGATAAGATTAGATTGGATTAGATAGATAGATAGATAGATAGATAAGATAAGATAAGATAAGATAAGATAAAATAAGGTTAGATTAGATTAGATTAGATTAGATAGATTAGATAGATTAGATAGATTAGACAGATTAGATAGATTAGATAGATTAGATAGATTAGATAGATTAGATAGGTTAGATAGATTAGATAGATAGATTAGATAGATTAGATAGATTAGATAGATTAGATAGATTAGATAGATTAGATAGATTAGATAGATTAGATAGATTAGATAGATTAGATAGATTAGATAGATTAGATAGATTAGATAGATTAGATAGATTAGATAGATTAGATAGATTAGATAGATTAGATAGATAGATTAGATAGATTAGATAGATTAGATAGATTAGATAGATTAGATAGATTAGATAGATTAGATAGATTAGATAGATTAGATAGATTAGATAGATTAGATAGATTAGATAGATTAGATAGATTAGATAGATTAGATAGATTAGATAGATTAGATAGATTAGATAGATTAGATAGATTAGATAGATCAGATAGATTAGATAGATTAGATAGATTAGATAGATTCGATAGATTAGAGAGATTAGAGAGATAGATAGATAGATAGATAGATAGGTAGATAGATAGATAGATAGATTAGAGAGATTAGAGAGATTAGAGAAATTAGAGAGATTAGAGAGATTAGATAGATAGATAGATAGATAGATAGTTAGGTAGATAGATAGATAGATAGATAGAAAAAAAGATAGATAGATAGAAAAAAAGATAGATAGATAGATAGATAGATAGATAGATAGATAGATAGATAGATAGATAGATAGATAGACAGATAGATAGATTGATAGATAGATAGATAGATAGATCGATAGATAGATAGATAGATAGATAGACAGACAGAAAGAAAGATAGATAGATTGATTGATAGATAGATAGATAGTTAGGTAGATAGATAGATAGTTAGGTAGATAGATAGATAGATAGGTAGATACATAGATAGCTAGATAGCTAGATAGCTAGATAGCTAGATAGCTAGATAGCTAGATAGCTAGATAGGTAGATAGATAGATAGATAGAGAGATAGAGAGATAGAGAGATAGAGAGATAGAGAGATAGAGAGATAGGTAGATTAGATTAGTTTAGGTTAGATTTAGATTAGATTAGATTAGAGAGGAGACCTCAACCACCTTTCGGTCCATCAGTGGCTTCGCTCTGCCATCCGTGATTCACAACAACCAACCTCTCCTATAGGTTTCCTATTTTTGAAACTTCCGCCACCGCCTTGTGCGGTACTACTGGTACATAATGGTTAAATATTAGGATATACTATTTGCTATATATACTGGTTACATTAACTATTAGTACATATTGGTACATAATGGTACTACTATATACTGGTGATTATTCCGCAAACGTCGCGACTTTTGGGCTCCTTTGCTTTCCTCCAGCTCCATGCCGCCGCAGCCGATGGTGTCACCGGTACCGGTGAGCGCGGAGGTATATAGCAAAAGGAAAGGAGAACAACTGATGCCTGATTTTTAATTCTATGTAATGTAAACTAATGTAAACTATTGAAATTGGTTTTATAAACTGTTGTAAAATAACATCTAAGATGTTCTAAGGATGAAACTTCAAGAAACTGCACTAAAGATTTGGAAAACAACATCCGGTATGAATTACGTATACCGTTTTTCTATCTGTTGTTGTTTCTTTGCATAGCGGCGAAAGGCGCTGTTTTCGCGCCCACATTGTCGCCCGCATGTCGAACCCTGTCACTTGGGCCAGCAACTATGGGGAGTACCCCAGTTTCACTGGATCGCTTGAAAATTGTGTTTTACATGACTGATGAATAATGAAAGGTCTTAAATGGCGAATGATCGAATGATGGATTGGACAATGATAAAAACTGATGATGATTCAACCCTGCTCCAAATACTGAGAAAGTCTTCATGTTTAGACCTCAAAAACGAAGCCCAAACAGTTTGTCTCAGAGGGTCGTTGGAGAAGTTTGGAGCTGTAGGGCAAACTCCGATTTCAGGGCCCACTTTCAGAGCTACTTTTGGGTTTCATTGGACATGAACTGAGTATGAAACACAGGATAAAAATGGACTTTCCCGTCTCAGCAAAGCTATATATAGCATCTGGTCATTTAACATAGCTATTGCAAATGACCATTTATAGTGAATTTTCCCATTAAACATGGTGATTTTCCATAGTTATGTAAACGTTTACCAGAGGGTAGCTTATTCATGCTTATTCAATCCAAACTACACATGGAAAAGGCGGGCACATGACGGGACACCAGGGTCACCAGCTGAAATGACGAATCAGAATTTACAGCGGGTCAGTTCTTGAAGATCATGAACACGTATTGAAAATTTATAGACACCGTGATTTCAATTGTGTATGTATATATATATATATTTGTACATATGTGGATGTGGATATCCATGTATGAATATAAATCATATTGAAAAATACTGTATATGGAAAATCATTCAACAAAAAATTCCAAGAAACTGTGATATTTATCAGGTTTGCTTCACTTTAAAAACACACACTGCTCGGTCGTGACCTCCGGTTCAAAATGATGAGCAATCAGGGCCAGGAGGCTTTCACACCTCAGCTTTGAACAGTATCACGTGGCCATATCAATGAGGTACTATTAGACTATGGGAAAATCATTTGATATTATATTTTCCAACAAATAATGAGGTATAATGTGTAATGCATAATGGCCATATCTTGAATTATGGTAAAATATCCAACACCTTTCCCAAATAATCTCCAACGAACTACGAAAAAACTCTAATTTCGGAAAGGTGTTGGATATTATATGGGATATAACCACCCAAACCTGTTGGGATGATACATGAAAATGGAGGGCTACCTCGATTTCAGGCAAGACCCATGGTGCTGTTGAGGGAATGGACACATGCCTATAAACAACTTTTTTCTTTAGTGCAGGTTCCATTGATTCGATACAACAAAGCAATACATAAGCTCATATATACATATATATATATATATCATTCTTTGTATATAGCAACCCCAAGGAAGATAGAACCGTGTTTCCAGCATGATATGGATGATATTTACCTAATATTTCCAGGGTGCCAACTTTTCTATCTTTTTGGGGGTTGCTGTACATGATATCATATGTATAAAATATAGAATTAATATCATAACGTGGACGCGTCGCCTAGAGCACCAAAATGCTGAACAACCACTACACAAAGGATTGATTGGCAATTGGTATATTTGATGGCTATATCATGGGGATATAGATACTATAGCCATTATCCATGAATTTGGAAAAACTCTAACATACCCTGGCGTAAACCTACAACAAAAATGCGGAAGATCCATTGGAAAACGGGTTCAAAATGATCTACAAATGGTCTGCTTTCTACATCTATGTGAACGTCTACTGGAGGGTAACATCAAACCACCTAATCCACCTATTTCAAGCCACCAATCACCAGGGTCGACGCACCTATCCACCTTCATGTTGGTGATGTGAGATTTACTGCAATTCCTGGAGCAAACCTGGCGTTGCTGGACAGCGCCCCTTTTTTTTTGGTGCTTCTAGGCACCCATGATTGCTCCCAAAATGCTATCCGCTGCTATCCTAAATGATACACAAAAAACGTCCGGGACATCATGTTGGTCATATCCCTGTAGTTGGCAAAATCCGCATGTCTCCGCGGCATCTGTGGCAAAATCCATATTCATGGTTTGTTAAATCCCCTGTCTGATGGCAAGACTCATTGTTGGTGGCTAGTGTTATATTTCTGGCGGCTACTCTTCAGCAAAGCTTAGACCACAGAGTATCTTTGATGAGCATGCAGCATTTGTACTACAATGTGGTTGGGAAGCTCAATTCGTAGTTCCTTGGCTCCCAGTTGGTAAGCAATATGGATACAACATGATACAACTGCTACAACCATAGCTCCAAACCGCTACCTCCATTCACCACTGGATAGTGCATGCATCCCGGTGGGTAATAACCAAATCAAAACTACCACTTAGAGTCAAGGCTTCTTTTTCAGGGCCGCAGATAGATAGATAGATAGATAGATCGATCGATCGATCGATAGATAGATAGATAGATAGAGAAATAGATAGACAGATAGACAGATAGACAGATAGACAGATAGACAGATAGACAGATAGACAGATAGATAGATAGACAGATAGACAGATAGACAGATAGACAGATAGACAGATAGACAGATAGACAGACAAACAGATAGATAGATCGATAGATAGATAGATAGATATAATAGATATAATAAATAGATAGATAGATAAATAGATAGATAGATAGATAGATTGATAGATAGATTGATAGATAGATTGATAGATAGATTAGATAGATTAGATAGATTAGATAGATTAGATAGATTAGATAGATTAGATAGATTAGATAGATTAGATAGATTAGATAGATTAGATAGATTAGATAGATTAGATAGATTAGATAGATTAGATAGATTAGATAGATTAGATAGATTAGATAGATTAGATAGATTAGATAGATTAGAAAGATTAGATAGATTAGATAGATTAGATAGATTAGATAGATTAGATAGATTAGATAGATAGATAAGAAAGATAGATAGATAGATAGATAAATTAGATAGATAGACAGACAAACAGACCATGGTGACTTGGGGATCCCCCGTGACTTTTCAGAAACCTCCAAATGTACAAGAAAAAGGGCTTATAAACCACATGGGGGTAATAACCAAAATCCAAATGATTTTTAGGTATTGATGGTGTCACTAGTGGGTAATAGCCACATCAAAACCCCACATAGGCTCTCCACTTTTCACCGCCGACCTCTGACCGGTCTCCGCCAGGCGAACTCTTTGGCCGGCGGAGAGTTACCACGGCGAAACCACCAAAGGACTAATGCGGTCTATGGTTTTTAGCGGAGAAAACATGTTTTTGTTCATACATTACTATATAGTTAATGAGGTGTTTAAACCAACTTGTACTGTAACTCTTGTAACTCTAGTCTTGAAATATCTTATATCTTAGGTATATTCTCAGCTCAGTATTGTGGTCCTAAGTAATGATTATCATGGGATTATGGAGCTACTTTTGGGATTAGCTACAACTGGACACTGGGACGTAGTGGGATATACCACAGGAAAACTAACCACTTAGCTAATCCTGGCAACGTCTAAGTATGGAATATCTAATTTGGGCTGATACTACACATCAAATATCTACAAACAAAACTTCTCAACCGTTGGATGATAATCAATGAGGATATGTTTGATTGGGTTGATACTATCTGGTAGATATTGTTGATAAATATCGCTTCTTTGCCAATAAAAACTCTGTTTACAGATCATCATAGTGATGATAACTACCTATTGAAACTGATGATTTCAAAGTTCGCAACGTTGAATAATCGGCATATGTCCAACTCATCAGTGTCATTGGCGAACATGATGAGGCAGTCATGTATACTGTTAGTTTAGGCGAATCACTATTTTAGAGATCAAGCTCATCAAGCTCGAAGAAAGTGGACCTTAAAACAAAAAGAACAAACTGGGCCTCACCAAGTCCTTTCTTGGCACAGTCAGAGCAGCATCCTGCTCTTCACACATTGGTGACACGAAAGTCTACAAGGGATGGCTCAAAATCAGGGAAATCGATTGGGAGACGCCAGGAGCGGTCATTGCGATTGGAAGGTTCCATTCTAGAAGGTGTGGACCCTAAAGGATAGCTATGGCAGCTATGCTGATATTTTACTGGCTGAACTGCGGTGTATGGTTGATATATCATGGAAATAATACGAAATATCATGAACTATTTTAGATTTTGTGAATGGGGTTTACAAAGCAACTTATAACTAAAAGGCATTACCTTGTCAGGATTCACAATATCTTATATAAATATATAGTTAATCCAATTTCCATCTAGATTGATCAATGGTGATATGTGTGTATATTTATATATATAAATAAAATTATGTATCAAATATAGCTACTCTATCACCCATACATCCCCCGATTATAATTCCAATCCCATTTCTTGCCACTCCCCAGCGCACTAGCGCACCGCGGCGAAGGGAGACTGAGCATCTAAGGCGCTGAAGGGATCGTCATTGCCTCGGGAAACCAACCATGATATGAGCTATAAAAATGGTGGTATATAATATGATATAATATGTAACTCAATACATGTGTGTATATATATATTATATTATATGTAATATATATATATATTATGTGTATATATATATACATAATATAATATATATATAGTGTGTCAAACCTCAGTCACAAGTCAATCACACAATATAAAATGTGTAAATTGTCACAATGTCCCTGATTTGTAGGGCCCTTTTTATGGCTTCGCACCGATTTGGATCGATGATTTTCCGTTTTCATCAAAAAATACTTTCGATAGTAAACTGGCAATCATCGATTTACTATAAATAACATCAGATTAGTTTCCATAGATTTTTTGAAATTAGTTCCATTCATAGTAAATCTGGTAAACTAATTAGTAAATATTGTTTTACTATTAATAACTGGCAAACATAGTGATTTATGAAAAAATACCAGATTCTTTTGGAATAATTACCGGTCAATCGATGTGATGCCGGGACCAGCGACCAGTATACGGTATACCTCCCAACCAATGGTTCACGAATCGTGTCATGACATTCCCAAACATCCCAGGTTGATATCCATGGATATTTTCATAGATAATGTTCCTATCAACAATTGAGTCCAGTCCAACCCCCAAGTTCGACCATATGATCCGATCATTTATTTTTGGGAGATTTTTAGTTTTGGGCATGTTTGAACTGGTTTGGCATTTGGCATACCATACCCTCTGGTAATTCAACATAGCTATGGAAAATCACCATTTTCAATGGGAAAATCCACTATTAATGGCCATTTTCAATAGCTATTTTGGCATAACCAGAGGGTACCATAAATCCCATACACAAAATGGTGTTCTGCAAAATGGTACTCGGGTACTCCGAAGATGTTCATCTACTGGGATTGTGTACACTATTGTGACACATCCCGTTAATATCCAAAACATACATTCAATTAGTTAATAGTACACTAAACCTTTAAATTAGTTGATACTAGTTGATACTATTGATCTATCATATAATTATATAATTAATACCACACAATCTAATGACATTCTCAATGACAATATGTTAATATCCATTGAAAATCATTTAAATATAGTTTCCCTTACCTTTAATGTTGATTGAGAATAGGATAATAACTATTACGCATGGATATTGTTGAACGGGACGATGATTTTTCTGAACGAAACGACTAAAAAAAGGGGCTGAGTTTCATGGCCACGGTGTGTCCAAAAAGACAGCGTTTCACTGTCAGTCTCCCAAAAGTCAATCTCGGGAATGGCCCAACGAACTGAGAGATATATATACATATATAACTATATACAGTTATAAATATGTATACAATCTATAAACTGATATATATGTATACAGTTATATCACTGATATATAATCTATAAATATGTATTTGTTGATGCAGTTATACAGTTATACAATGGTTTAAGGATGAGTTCGACTACAGTCACTACAGTATGTCATCCCAGTTATCCCAGTCGTAGCTCAGCGGCCTTGTTCGCCCGCGGCCGTTAGCTCCTTGGTCCACGGCTGCAGCGGGATGTAAGCACCACCCACACGTACCGTGACGCGGCCCTCAGAGAGTTGCATGAAGATCTTTTGATCACCTGCGGATCGAACGCCAAGGTTCAACCGTGTTGGAAAACAGATGGTGAACATTAAAACTTATATTTCGATGAACATAAATGGTCATGGTCATGGGATTTACAGCTGATTCATAGCAGATTTATGATAGCTAACTTGGAGGCTTTCCAAAAAATATCCCTGGCGATGATTCACCACATGGAAAACACCGAAACGATAAAAACACCGAAAAAGGTTCGCTACCACGCATGGTACAGTCAGTGGGTCCCCCTAGATAGCTAAGTTATGCTAAGTTTATAACTCTAATCACTATGGTTTATGATACTTATAACTATCGTTAACGGGGTCTATAAACGTATAAACCAACAAAAAAAACCGGGGTCTTCACTTCCTGTACCTCAGACCAGTTCTGGTTTTCGGCATATTTGGGCACATCCAATGCCGTTGGAGGATAGCAACCAGAATCATTGGAGGATATGAAGAACAATCAGTGGTACAAATTCAAAGGAGAGAACCCACATGTATCTCATGTGAGTATAGTTACCCAGTTTGATTTCCACATATCTGACCAAGCATCTGGATCAAGGAAGTTTGGATTCGAACATCATGTCCAATCCGTCTTAGATACCCCAAACTATGATTTCTAGCTTGGTAGATAAACATCCAATGTGGCAAATGCAAATTTGGTATAAAGCCATAATCAGCCATATGCTCCCAGACTTCCAGATTTTCCTCCCAGATCCTCAATGCAGGTTCCCACCTATCTTGTACCTCTTGGGGCCCGTTCTTTCCAGTTTGTTGCCTTTCAGAACGCCAGGCCCAAGCTCCATGATTTCCTTCTCCAAGCACTTGTCCAACTCATCATCTACAGTGGAGATGTAGTCCTGAGATTCAGATATCCGTAGTTTTCGGCTGTGGAATCATGGGAAATTATGAACAACCAGGCATGGGAAATGCATCCTATGCCTGGTATTACCCCATGATGCATTTCTATGATATCTACATAAATATATGAAATAATATGAAGTTCTGTCGAACATCAATCAGAATGCTGTCCAACTGTTCTATCGCTCTCCAGGACTCCAGGGACCTCTTTTCACCACACATATCGGTAGGCCAACCATGAGCACAAAGCTCCTCCCCGATCCGAAAGTAGGGGGTCTACGGGTCTACCCCTCAATATATCATCACAAAAATTCCATCCCCCTGATATTAAACACCCTCATTGTCTGGCCCCAAACATGTGTAAATCCCCTAGTAAACATGTTTTTTAAATGAGGGGTCTGTTGATATATTTAGTATTTAAGGGGATGAATCTTATACCAAGATTTAGAAGCCCCGCTGTATGAATGCTGCCAGGCTTAGTCATTGGCGAACCAGAAGACCATGTTTTTGAAGATCAACCTGGCTTACTAACTGGTAAACTAACGAAAATCACAAGTTTTGATATGTATATAAATCAACTATAATCAAATATCGGTGTCAATTATTGATAACATATATTGGACTATCGGACGGTAGTACGTTAGTATTCTGCTACTTCAAATCTTTGGCCATGTGAACAATGTGAAGTACCCCAGTGGGCGATCGGATTTCAATCATTACTTGGGATTTTCTATACATATATTATATTATATATATATATATCATACAATATATATATATGATATATATATATATATTATCTAAATGATACTCCAAGCTCCATGGATCCAGTTATCCACCAGGCTGATCTCAAGTGCCATGGCGAGGCCTGGAAAACATCTCTTCACCTCCACAACTTGCACGTCGTGTGTCCCCACAAATCACGAGACGTTTCACGAATCTGAAATGAACCTAAGATGATAAACCAATCTTTTTCCCAGGCACTCGCCATGTATTCCTCTGATATCCCCATTTATGGATGTAAAGTACTCATGCGTTTTGTAAACGCAATGTAAATGACAATTGGTCAAGTTGTTTGAGATCGATATTTTTAGCTCACTGGTCATCTGTAGTATTTTTTGGCTAAGCCACCAGAGCGATCGTTTCAACACATCAGCCCTGCTGCAGTTCCACCTTTGGGGTTACTTTTTGGGGGTCTAAACACCTTGGGAGCGCTCAAACGCTAGGCGTCAGAGACCTTTTGCGCGGGCTCCGCGACTGGTTCTGGTTCTGGCGCCGACGCTTTGGCGCGCGCTGCGGCCAGAGCTTCTTCCAACTCACTTTCCTCGTTGTTTCGTGGGACTTGCGGAAGGGAAAAGAAATGTAATAACACATATTCCTAGGAGATTCCACTGTCATGGTGGATTGGCCAATAGGAAAATTATCCAGATGATTTTCAGCAAATCATAAATCCCTGGGTAAAAGCGGATCCTAGGTGTGTTTCTCCAAGGGCTGAGATGATTCCATTGCCGTTAGATAGTTGGGAAATCATGCTGACATACCTAAGTTGCCATCAATTGATCATTCAAGCGATGAATTCATTCAATACAAGTTTTGCTTTGCATACAATGTATACAATAGTTACACTTCATATGTACATATAAGCACTAATATATATAATAATCCTGGAGTAGATAGAATCCAGTTTCGTAGGGGGTGTTTTTTATTTTGAAAAAACCCAGGGTTTTTTGACCCAATACTAAACTATATCTTCGGACCCCCTAGATAGAATATTCCAAAATCTACTCCAGGATGCTCAAAATGTGTAGTTTTTCCTTTCCTTTTCAAAACCTTCTATTTTTTTCAAAATTTCCTTTTCAAACAGCTGCAAGAATGAAATTTGGATGGTAAGATCGAGGATTCCTACTTTTCTCATGCACTTTTCCTTTCAAACACAGTTTTCCATTCAAAAACCTTCAATTATGAACTTTGGATGCTCGATCTTGGATTCCAGCTGTTCTCATCTCCTTTTCCTTTCACAGTTCTCTTTTCAAAAACCTGCAAGACTGAACTTCGGATGGTCGATCTTGGGTTCCTTCTTTTCTCATCCCGTGTTCCTTTAACAGTTTCTTTGCAAAAACCTGCGATTTCAACTTTGGATGGTAAAATCTTGCATCCCTACTTTTCTAATGCAATTTTCCTTTTAAAGTTTGATTTCAAAAAACTAAAAGGAAAATGGCATTAGAAAAGTAGGAGGAATGCAAGATCTTACCATCTAAAGTTGAAATTGCAGGTTTTTGAAAATAAGCATCGAAAGGAAAATGGGATGTGAGAAGAAGGAACCCACGATCTTACCATTTAAAGTTCAGTCTTGCAGGTTTTTGAATAGAAAGCTGTGAAAGGAAAAGGAGATAAGAAAAGTATAGAAAAGTAGGAATCCAAGATCGACCATCCAAAGTTCATTTTTGCTAGTGCTGTGCTAGGACAGCTGGGCAAAACTATAGATAGAATATCCTCTAGAACCATGTAAAGACTGCATTTTAAAGGATGCTTGGAATTAAGCATGTATTTGTGGTGCTCCCTGCCCCTTCCTCCACATCTGCCCATCCAAAGTTCATTCTTGCAAACGGCTCCAAGAATGAACTTTGGATGGGTAGATGTGGAGGAAGGGGCAGGGAGCACCACAAATACATGCTTAATTCCAAGCATCCTTTAAAAATGCAGTCTTTTCATGGTTCTAGAGGATATTCTATCTATAGTTTTGCCCAACTGTCCTAGCACAGCACTAGCAAAAATGAACTTTGGATGATCAATCTTGGATTCCTACTTTTCTGGACTTTTCTTATCTCGTTTTCCTTTCACAGCTTTCTATTCAAAAACCTGCAAGACTGAACTTTAAATGGTAAGATCGTTGATTCCTTCTTTTCTCATCCCATTTTCCTTTCGATGCTTCTTTTCAAAAACCTGCAATTTCAACTTTGGATGGTAAGATCTTGCATCCCTACTTTTCTAATGCCATCTTCCTCTTAAAGTTTGCTTTCAAACGGCTCCAAGAATGAACTTTGGATGGGTAGATGTGGAGGAAGGGGCAGGGAGCACCACAAATACATGCTTAATTCCAAGCATCCTTTAAAAATGCAGTCTTTTCATGGTTCTAGAGGATATGCTATCTACAGTTTTGCCCAACTGTCCTAGCACGGCACTAGCAAAAATGAACTTTGGATGGTCGATCTTGGATTCCTACTTTTCTATACTGTCCTAGCACAGCACTAGCAAAAATGAACTTTGGATGGTCGATCTTGGATTCCTACTTTTCTATACTTTTCTTATCTCCTTTTCCTTTCGCAGCTTTCTATTGAAAACCTGCAAGACTGAACTTTAAATGGTAAGATCGTGGGTTCCTTCTTTTCTCATCCCATTATCCTTTTGTTGCTTCTTTTCAAAAACCTGCAATTTCAACTTTGGATGGTAAGATCTTGCATTCCTAGTTTTCTAATGCTATTTTCCTTTTAAAGTTTGCTTTCAAACGGCTCCGAGGATGAACTTTGGATGGCTAGATGTGGAGGAAGGGGCAGGGAGCACCACAAATACATGCTTAATTCCAAGCATCCTTAAAAAATGCAGTCTTTTCATGGTTCTAGAGGATATTCTATCTATAGTTTTGCCCAACTGTCCTAGCACATCACAAAAATGAACTTTGGATGGTCGATCTTGGATTCCTACTTTTTCTGGACTTTTCTCATCTCCTTTTCCTTTCACAGCTTTCTATTCCAAAACCTGCAAGACTGAACTTTAAATGGTAAGATCGTTGATTCCTTCTTTTCTCATCCCATTTTCCTTTTGTTGCTTCTTTTCAAAAACCTGCAATTTCAACTTTGGATGGTAACATCTTGCATTCCTACTTTTCTAGTGCCATTTTGCTTTTAAAGTTTGCTTTCAAACGGCTCCAAGAATGAACTTTGGATGGGTAGATGTGGAGGAAGGGGCAGGGAGCACCACAAATACATGCTTAATTCCAAGCATCCTTTAAAGATGCACTCTTTTCATGCTTCTATAGGATATTCTATCTATAGTTTTGCCCAACTGTCCTAGCACATCACTAGCAAAAATGAACTTTGGATGATCAATCTTGGATTCCTACTTTTCTGGACTTTTCTTATCTCGTTTTCCTTTCACAGCTTATTCAAAAACCTGCAAGACTGAACTTTAAATGGTAAGATCGTGGGTTCCTTCTTTTCTCATCCCATTTTCCTTTCGATGCTTCTTTTCAAAAACCTGCAATTTCAACTTTGGATGGTAAGATCTTGCATCCCTACTTTTCTAATGCCATCTCCCTCTTAAAGTTTGCTTTCAAACGGCTCCAAGAATGAACTTTGGATGGGTAGATGTGGAGGAAGGGGCAGGGAGCACCACAAATACATGCTTAATTCCAAGCATCCTTTAAACATGCAGTCTTTTCATGGTTCTAGAGGATATTTCTATCTACAGTTTGCCCAACTGTCCTAGCACGGCACTAGCAAAAATGAACTTTGGATGGTCGATCTTGGATTCCTACTTTTCTATACTGTCCTAGCACAGCACTAGCAAAAATGAACTTTGGATGGTCGATCTTGGATTCCTACTTTTCTTATCTCCTTTTCCTTTCACAGCTTTCTATTCAAAAACCTGCAAGACTGAACTTTAAATGGTAAGATCGTTGATTCCTTCTTTTCTCATCCCATTTTCCTTTCGATGCTTCTTTTCAAAAACCTGCAATTTCAACTTTGGATGGTAAGATCTTGCATTCCTAGTTTTCTAATGCCATTTTCCTCTTAAAGTTTGCTTTCAAACAGCTCCGAGGATGAACTTGGGGATGGGTAGATGTGGAGGAAGGGGCAGGGAGCACCACAAATACATGCTTAATTTCAAGCATCCTTTATAAATTCAGTCTTTTCATGCTTCTAGAGGATATTCTATCTATAGTTTTGCCCAACTGTCCTAGCACGGCACTAGCAAAAATGAACTTTGGATGGTCGATCTTGGGTTCCTACTTATCTATACGTTTCTCATCTTCTTTTCCTTTCAGCTTTCTATTCAAAAACCTGCCAGACTGAACTTTAAATGGTAAGATCGTGGATTCCTTCTTTTCTCATCCCATTTTCCTTTCGATGCTTCTTTTCAAAAACCTGCAATTTCAACTTTGGACGGTAAGATCTTGCATCCCTACTTTTCTAACGCCATCTTCCTCTTAAAGTTTGCTTTCAAACGGCTCCAAGAATGAACTTTGGATGGGAGGAAGGGGCAGGGAGCACCACAAATACGTGCTTAATTCCAAGCATCCTTTAAAAATGCATTCTTTTCATGGTTCTAGAGGATATTCTATCTACAGTTTTGCCCAACTGTCCTAGCACGGCACTTGCAAAAATGAACTTTGGATGGTCGATCTTGGATTCCTACTTTTCTATACTGTCCTAGCACAGCACTAGCAAAAATGAACTTTGGATGGTCGATCTTGGATTCCTACTTTTCTATACTTTTCTTATCTCCTTTTCCTTTCACAGCTTTCTATTCAAAAACCTGCAAGACTGAACTTTAAATGGTTGATTCCTTCTTTTCTCATCCCATTTTCCTTTCGATGCTTCTTTTCAAAAACCTGCAATTTCAACTTTGGATGGTAAGATCTTGCATCCCTACTTTTCTAATGCCATCTTCCTCTTAAAGTTTGCTTTCAAACGGCTCCAAGAATGAACTTGGGGATGGGTAGATGTGGAGGAAGGGGCAGGGAGCACCACAAATACATGCTTAATTTCAAGCATCCTTTATAAATTCAGTCTTTTCATGCTTCGAGAGGATATTCTATCTATAGTTTTGCCCAACTGTCCTAGCACGGCACTAGCAAAAATGAACTTTGGATGGTCGATCTTGGGTTCCTACTTATCTATACGTTTCTCATCTCCTTTTCCTTTCAGCTTTCTATTCAAAAACCTGCCAGACTGAACTTTAAACGGTAAGATCGTGGATTCCTTCTTTTGCACAGCTTTCCTTCCACACTCATTCCTTTATTGGGTTTTACTACTTGGGTATATCCCGGGAACAAAAAATACCATTGCCAAAGATTCTACAACACCTGAAATGTTTTTTGGAAACCTGCCGTTGTTAGCAGAATGCAGTAGGGAAGGGCCAGCACAGTGGTTGATACCATAGATAGAATATGAAAGAATATAGAAGAATATGGGAATGGCTCAAAACCTTCTGTCCCAATTACACCCAATTCTATACAGACTACTTTTTAAAGTATCTGGTTTTGATCGATGTCCAAATTCAAATCTCCAGGAGGTCCGGTGAGCACACTGTAGCTAAATGGGTACAGGTCAAATTTGGCCCCAGCTCAATTGCAAAATTGCACCATTTGAATTATGAACTATCAATTTTGGGGGCGTGATAATTTGACCCACACCCATTCCTTTATTGGGTTTGACTATTAAATACCATTGCCAAAGGATCTATATTTCTGGTAACCAACAGCAACAGTGCAAATTTTGGGGTTGTGATAATTTTTTTGGAAGATTTTGGGCTGAAATTCGCAGGCCAGAACCTAATACACCAGCATAATAACAACATTTGGTGGTCATTCCGAAGGCCCAAACAACTAAATCACAAGCTAAATGACGGCTGTTGTGATCATTTTAGAGGGACCGTTTTTTTTTCCAATCATCGACCCGGATTTTTGAGCCATTTTGGGATTCTATCTATAGGTTTTTTTCGGACCGTTTTTTTTTTTGAAATTCCAGAGATTCTATCTACTTCAGGATGGTTATATATATATATATACGGTAACTACATTTAAATATACGGACTTTTAAATATGCGAACAGGTATTTTAGACTACCTCCGGGAAGGTTTTCCTTGGCCCGCCCGGCCATTTAAACATACGGAATCCAATTCATTTAAACATACGGCAACCACATTTAAATATACGAACTGGTATTTCATACTACCTCCGGGGACTCGCGGTCTGGCCCGCCCTCCACATATTTAAATGGCGTTACCGTATATATACATAACTATATTTATATACAGTATACTCGCATTGTCTTTGATTGTTTTGCTGGTTTACTGTCGATTTCAGCACTGTTGTTCAGGTTTGATTCTGTTGGAGCCATGTTCGACATTATTTCACAATATTTCATATTTGTGCCACACCATTGTTTCACTGGTTTACGAATGATTATGACCCATTATTATCATTTATTATCATTATCAATTCTATCCAGATTCGGATACACGTTGGTGCAAATAACTCCAATAAGTGTGGCTGGCAACTATGGTGAAACTTATAACACAATCGTATTCAACTGGGCTTCACCATACTTAGCTCAGTTGGTTTTATAACTAGGTTAAGTATGGTTGGTGTATATATATATATAATATATAGTTGTGTAAATATTAAATGGGATATAGTTTGTATAAATGTATCAATATATAGTATTATATTAATACAAACTATAAAAGGTAAATATATATATAGTTGTATAATCCAACTATCCAACCATATATGGTGAATATGAGTTGTATAAACCAACTAGAAATATGGTTAAGTCATGGTTGGTTTCCATGGGATAACCTTAACTGATCCCTGGCGCCACCGGGGGCACCGGGGGCACCAAGGCTCCAAGCGCGCCACACGCTGCCGCAGTTGCTCTTCCCGGCCGCGGCTCGCCAGAATCTCCTCCGGTCTCACTGGGGGAACTCCCGGGATCCAAAACGACGCTTTTGGTGAGCTGGGGAAGTCATGGTAAGTGGAGATCTTCAGGAATTTTATATGGATTTTCTATGACTTTCTTGATCGATTCATGGTGATGGCAACATGTTTATCAGGGACTTAACCATCAAGAATTAGATATTTGATGGGACATTTGATGGGGTTTAAGGATCAACAGTAGGGATGTAACATGATTTAACTGCCCAAAACGGTGCCACAGTTGGGTAGCTGAGTTGGCTACTAGCTGAACTAGGGCTAACTACACCACCTTGCAGGGAGAATCATCCAAATAAAACAACATGTTAAAACATATTTTAACCCTTTGGACATGAGTTAAATCATGTGAAACAATCCCAAAATACTACAATTCACCATTTGGAAATTCTTCACATATGTGTCAGGAAATTCGATCATCCATCCCATCAGTTTTTCCCAGCCCTTCACCCACTAAATCCCCTGGGGGATGAGAGAAGCCAATTTGGTCATCGAGGTTTCCTAAGTCATGGGAGTACCCCCAGCCATCATCCATTTCAATATAGTTCAATGGTTGTTTTTTTTCCATCACAGACCATCTATTTTGGGGAGGCCCAAAATAGCCCAGTAAATGGAAACCCCCATATGATTTTGGGTAAGCCATCATCCCAATTGGTAGGTCAAGGTAAAATGACTTTGGGTAATATGATTTTGGGAATTGTTAGTGACTTTGGGTAAACACCTCATTGCAAGTGGTGGTTGAAGAGGCCAATATATGAGTATTTGGCTCCGACTCTGGGTAAAACATCTATATACCTAGACCCTCCACATTAACATTGCGTTTTACCCCATAATGTCAGCACGTTTTTTTACATGTGTTTATTGGTATTTGGAGGCTCTAGGTCCACATGACTCAATTTCCATGCTACGTTTAAGACCCAGATGATCAGGACATGGACATGGATCAAAGCCTAGTAACCATTTGTGAATATCAAACTAGCTGGACAGTGCATCGTTCCCATTTCATATGGTGGTCCAGAAAAATGTAGTATTGGTTTTGACTTTTGACATCTACACATCTAATGATCATATCTTTTCCTGGCAATATCATTGCGTGGTTTACGACTTCAACTTTGGCCTATGTCTATGCTTGGTCCTTGGGAAGTGCCAATCTGAAGGCTTGGGTGTGACACGTTTGGCCCATGTTACATCATGCTACTACATCGAATTGGACATCATCTCAAGATGGTTTTAACATGTAGACAAAAGCACTGTCTGGTCCAAGTGTGCATTTCTGATCTGACATCATCTGAGCCGATTTCAAATCTCAAATTGCAAGTGTACTTATTCACATTTACTCAACAACTAGCCGTAACTAGCCTAGGTACAACCATAGTATGGGTCCAACAAAGCCTCCGGTCATCAACCGTGGCTTTCCAAAAGGTAACCCCAATCTGTTGTCGTCAATCCCTGGTAGTTTAACTACCTAACATGTACCCTTTATTTACTGGCTGGTGGTTTCAACCCCTTTGAAAAATATGAACATCAGTTGGGATGATTATTCCCAATATATGGAAAAATAAAAGCCATGTTCCAAACCACCAACCAGTTTCTAGATGATTTATCATTGCCTACTATTGGGTATCATTACTATTGTTCATTATTTTTTTTGTGCAGCTCCCCAACCCAAACCCCAATATCATTCAATAGTCCATCAATATTCCGTTGATATCCCATGAATATCTATATATATATATATTCCCATGATGCCACTATTTCTGTTGGTCAAATCTTCCCAATTTCTGCTGCCAATTTCTGCTGTACCACCAAGCGGCTTCACTTTGCTGAGCCATCTCCGCCAAGTGCAGCGAAGTGCCCGCCTCCTCCTGGTGAAACCGCTAGTACCGACATGGCAACGGACTACTGGCAATGGTCGAAACTCTGGTACCGACTGGTACCCTACAATGTGAGGCCCCCAAGATAGCTAAGTTGGTTTATAACTACAATAACTATGGTTTATGGTATTTATAACTATAGTTACTGGGGCTTATAAACCAACTTATATCTTGGGGGCCTCACATTGTAAGTATCCCTCAGGACGCCTTAGCTAATGACCATAAAAATGTGGCTAATAAACCACATGAACTAGAGTATTCCCTAATAAACCACTGGTTAATGGATGTTTATTCCCACCATTCCCACCATCAAATATGGTCATTTCAGAAAGGACCATTCGCTGGTCATTTTGGTGTTTCTAAACATGACTCCCCAAAGTTTGTGTCTCCACACCGAGGGTTCGCTAAACGGTAGGTGTTTTTGATGTCGGGGTTAGATCATGGTACGCGAAAAAAAATCATCATCCTGAAGTAGATAAAATATGGACATTTCAAAACAAATCCCACGAACATGAAAACATCTTTGAAAATGCCAGATTCTATCAGGAAGATTATATATATATGTATCCCCAGTAAATATACCAATAATAATATATTATAAACCAATCATCATTGATGGTCTCGTAAAGGGAATACGACTGCCAACATTCGGCACCTTTTGGAGCATTTCGGACTTCAAAGCCAGTTCGGCCGCCAGTTTCCTCAGGTTTCGATGGTGCAAGTTATGGGAATGAATCCCATGTGCACAACCCAAATGGTGGATGTATGTAGGTATATTGCATATAGATAGGCAGGGGGCAGGTAGGGGATAGTAGATCAACGGGTCCGTTTTTGTGCTTGGGCGCTCTGAGCGACAACGCTGTGTTGGCTAGTACAAGTAGTGACACTTAAAATCCTGATGCAGAAACACGCTGACTTCGATGTGCAACGCGTAGCATCCAAGAGCTGTCAGCTTCGGACAGCTTTGAAATTGCATGAACCCGTAACCCTTCTCACTGAATCCTTGCGCGGAGTCCCTGGAACATGATTAAAACTTTGAAACAAGAACATGACCGTTCGGTTCGGTGGATGCTCTTTGGCTGCTGCCGGCTTGAAACAGTTCATATCTTCATCGAAGCCGGACAACACTGGGGTAGGTTTAGACAACCAGGCAGAACTGCCTCATGAAGGTAGTTTGATGATGTTTCTGCATGTTTTCCAGGGTTTCCAACTTTTCTAGTCTATGAGTCTATGGCTGGGAGGCCGCAATACATCGTCATTACACTTGACCAATAATTGTGATGATATCTATAATAGCCATCAGTAATTATAGATGGCTATGATAGCCACTAGTAATAGCCATCGGCTATGATATCTATAATTATTAGCCATTTATAGCCATTTATAATAACAACTATTATATCCATTATCCATTAATATCGAGCACTATCTAGCAATCATTGGTATAGCCATTAATCATCCATTAATAACAATAACTTGATCAATAATTGTGATGATATCTAAAATAGCCATCAGTAATTATAGATGGCTATGATAGCCATTAGTAATAGCCATCGGCTATGATATCTATAATTATTATCCATTTATAGCCATTTATAATAACAACTATTACATCCATTATCCATTAATATCTATCTAGCAAAAATTGTTATAGCCATTAATCATCCATTACTAACAATAACTTGATCAATAATTGTGATGATATCTAAACAAGAAATCAGTAATTCTAGATGGCTATGATAGCCACTAGTAATAGCCATCGGCTATGATATCTATAATTATTATCCATTTATAGCCATTTATAATAACAACTATTATATCCATTATCCATTAATATCGAGCATTATCTAGCAATAATTGGTATAGCCATTAATCATCCATTAATAACAATAACTTGATCAATAATTGTGATGATATCTATAATAGCCATCAGTAATTATAGATGGCTATGATAGCCATTAGTAATAGCCATCGGCTATGATATCTATAATTATTCTCCATTTATAGCCATTTATAATAACAACTATTTTATCCATTATCCATTAATATCTAGCATTATCTAGCAATAATTGTTATAGCCACTAACCATACATTAAAAGCAATAACTTGACCAATAATTGTGATGATATCTATAATAGCCATCAGTAATTATAGATGGCTATGATAGCCATTAGTAATAGCCATCGGCTATGATATCTATAATTATTGGCCATTATAGCCATTTATAATAACAATTAATTATTATATCCATTATCCATTAATATCTAGCAATAATTGTTATAACCTTATAACCATTAATTATCCATTAATAACAATAACTTGACCAATAATTGTGATGATATCTATAACAATTATTATCCATTAATAGCCATTGTGTTCCCCCGAAGATAATCATCCACCCATTATCAACGATGTCCTGGTCTCCATTCAACTGGCAATTTTTGATGCCCAGCCACTCAGACACATTCAACCAGTCTCATCTGAGAAACCAGAACCATTAAGGGCCATAGCCCAGAAGGCATTATCAACTATTCTTGGTGGATGACATGCCATTATTTTCCAATGATATGCCAATTAGAGTTGGTTGTATCATCACTATATTATATTCACACGTGTCCCCATGTTTCATGGAATTTCATGGATTTTCACCGTTATCCATCCAAAATAGTCTAATGATATTCAACTGCATTCGTTTTTCCAGTGGATATCCCAACAAAAAAAAAAACAATATAGCTTCTCGGAATCAAACATGGTTTGCTGGACAATCCCCCTTTAGTTCGATGATTTTCCCAGCTATAAATCTCCATTGACCTCAGGGATTTCCCCATGTTTAATGACTCACCATTTCTTCACAGTTCACAAGCCTGTTCATATGCAGTCTTCATTGAACCAGCGCTGGAGGATACCCTCTGGTTATGACTAACATAGCGGAAAATCACCATGTTTAATAGGAAAATCCACTAGAAATTGCAATTTTCCATAGTTTTTTGTATGTTTACCAGAGATTATCCCCATGACCGCTCCACCAAGGCACTTCGCTTCCTCCTGCGCCGTCCTCAACGCCTCCGCCGTTCGCTCCTCCTGCGCATCCTTCTTTGAGGCCGACGCCAGCAGTGTCTCCAGCGCACAGACCTCCAAGTCGCGGCCCGCCAAACGGGCACCCAACTCCTCCCGTTCGCCACGGTGGGCGCCGAAAAATAAAAAATCGCCTTGGAAAAAAAAACAATTAGATGGGATTGGTCTGTTTGCAGAAGGTGGAGTCTATCAAATTTAAAGTACCATGAAACAAAAACCTTTGGGGCTCATGTCCAGGAACATTCAATGATTGCTGAAAAACAAATCCCATCAACCGGCCACCCATCAATATCTAATATTTCGCCATATTCACATCTTTACATCATATTATATCTCCGCTTAATCATACCTATTTTGCAACTCCCCTGTGCTTCAAAACTTGCGCAACATCTCTCCCCATAAAACCATATAAAACCCTTATGCCAATCCCCAAGTGCATGCCTACTATAAACCAGATACCCAATTTTGGTATCCCATGGATGCTAACCACCAGGGCGGCAAAGGGGGTGACTTGAACCATCGGTTGAGAACGGGTCTGATTGGGTTGTGTGGTGTTTTTCTGTGTTGATGCGGATGGGTTTTTGTTGCAAGACATGGTTGGAAATAAAACTCGCCATTACAATGAACACCAAGAAATATCCCGTGATATCACTATGTTTGATGGTTAAACCTCATCTACAAACATCTGCAAACGATGGCCATAAAATTGGGATTACAGAATTCGATGGCCACATGGCCACGGACAGTGTCCGATCGGTGGGTACTCATATAGCTATAGTTAAACTGACTAGCTGCACCTACTTGTGCATTTTGTTGTGAATGACTCATGGCCAGTGATACCAGCCTACTAGCTCAGCGATTTTAAGTTCCTACTAGTAGCCCATACAGTGCGATAACATATTTCAGTATATTTTGGTAATTCTATACATAGACTTACATAGGCTACAAACATGTTTCGTCATGTTTCACCACAGGTTTCTCTTGACTTTTCCTCCGAGAACTTGAAGTTCGTCCCTGTGCGACAGGTGGAGAACTTGATTCTCTGAAGCTGATCTTCCTATACTCTGCACCCGGGAAAGTTATGCAAGAAAAAAACACTTAGCTAATCTTAGCTAACTATGGGGCAACACTGACCTCGTAGTCGTAGGTTAAATAACCAGCTCCAACCAACGGTAAGTTCACCTCAGTTGGCATATGTTTCCCCCCTACCACTATGGTTGTATGTCCACTAATTCTTATAGTGATCCACTTCCAACTGGAATTTCACCCCCACCACACCCAAATAACACCATCCCCTAACAATTCTTGACCATTTATTAAGCACCGTTAGAAAAAAACTATTAATAAACCATTCAGAACCCAATAGTGCCATGATGAACGATTCTCAACCAACATATTAGCCATGGTAACCATGGACCATTGGTTCTATTGTCGTTAAACCAAAAAGTAGTCCCATTCCTCAACCATGAATTAAACTAAACCACTATAGTGCCATAATTCGTTATCAAAATTCAAAATCCACTCATATATCGATGATAAACATATAAATACTGATAAACCCTTATAATCCCATTGTAACTTACCATTCCCAAACCATGAATATAGTCCCACCATAGTCCCATTCCTAAAACCATGAATTAAACTATAGTCATCTATAGTCCCATGTATATATATATAGTCATCCTTAACCATGACTTAAACTATTATCCTTGGTCCTTATAGATTCCTTAGATTCATCCCACCATAGTCCCATCCGCATCGCCATCTCCTGGTTCTTCGAGGCCTCGCTTCGTTCCCTGCTGAGCTGCGAGTCCAGCTGACGGCAGCGCAGCTCAGCACTGAGGCGTTCCCACTCGATGGAGCTCTGCAGGTCCTGAACCTGACCAGTGACCTTTAAAGGGACCAAAAAGGGACTACATTTACACGTCCTTTAACTACCCGGCCTGGTAAACATAGAAAAAGCGACATTGAAGCCATGGCCCAGTCGAAATAGTTGATTTAGTGATTTACCCATTGAAAATGGTGGTTTTCCATAGCTATGTTAGTTTACCAGAGGGTAATTGGTGGTTCAATTGACCACCCCCCCTGAAAAATGATGGAGTGAGTTCGTCAGATTGGATCATCATCCAGTTCCTATTGGGGAAAATCAAATTCATGTTTCAAACCACCAACCAGTTAAAGAAACCAGATGTGCTCAAACCTCAACCCAAACAACTGGAAAAAGGATTCGAAGTACTGGGTAAAACACCGTTTTTTGAAGGTATTTGGAGGTTCATAAGTGGATATAAGATGAAAATGTGTGTTTTTATTTTTCGGTGGTAAATACACAGTGGCAGCAGTAGTTGATTGTGTTCATCATACCCGAATGCCCAAAGCTGGTGATGTTACAAATTTCATTGCTTAGATTCCCATTTCATTGGAGTCAAACCTCCAAATTCACTCAAACAAACTACAAATTTTATTCGTCACATGCTTCCACCCTGCTACAGTAATTGCACTGAAAGCGGACTACCCTACATGTCCAGGATGTTGTTTGTTCGATGATGTATATACATATGATACCAAAGGGAGCACCAAACGGACCAAAACATCCTCGACTTGATGGGACTTGCATGATTGGAATGTTTTCTTGACTGTAACATATAGATAACATATGATAACATAAACATATAGAGGGCACTACTGTATCTTTGCCATCATAACAAAACATACTTGTCCCTCCCGTGGTGATGAGTCCTTGAAGTCAAAAAAAACAATACATTCCAAGACATTCCACTATGGTTATGGGCCAGTCATGGGTGCGAAAAAAAATGACGATCATATTTCAATCATCTTTTAATCATCTTTTCGATTACAGTATATGTCCATCAAAAGTCAATCATTTATCGATGAATTTTCAATCGCATTTCAATCTTAGAAAGGATGATGCGATTAAAAGTGCGCCGGATGATTTGCCAAAAAACTTGTTGTTCTTGTGCCTTTTCACTTTGCAGCCGCTGCGATCTAAGCAGCCTCAGTGCAGCCGCATCGGGTCCTAATACGTTAGACGAGACCCGACTCAGGACGCTCACCTACTTTTTGGATCTACTTATCTAGGATGGTCTATACCCTCTGGTAAACTAACATAACTATGGAAAATCACAATCTTTAATGGGTAAATCAACTATAAATGGCCATTTTCAATCGCTATGTTTGTTTACCAGAGGGTAATCCTTTTCCTAAAATACCAATTCTTTCCCATTAACAGATGAATATTGCCAAACATTATGACTATTGATTTTTTTTAAAGAAATCCAAAATAAAATCCCAGAATATCCACCATAGACTATTGATGAAAATTGGAAAATAATTTGAAAATAGAATCCATAATATTCCACCATCATATTCGCTTCCCACACTCGAAAAAAACCACCCTGTCCCCCCTGTTCCCCCGTCCTAACCCCCGTCCCTCGCTCCGACCGCGTCACATGATCTCCATCTGCTGCCACTCCTCTTGCTCCGTCAGCATTCCGTTGCGATGCCGCAACGCGAAGACGTCCGCTTGATGCCCTAGTTCCGCCCTGATGTTTTTAAAGGTGTTCTGTCTCCAAAAACAAGGGAAAGAACTGGGGGGAACATCTACAGGAAATCATGTTTCTTGAAATATCAATGAAATGCTGTTCATTCTATTCATCATACAAATTATATCAAATTATGTAAGCATAGTTTATACTTGTGTTTACAGCAAAGACATATTTGTTTATTTTATCGGAGTTTGGTGACCACCGTGGTCAAATAATGATCAGCACACCGTCAAACAGGATAGACACTAACCATGGGATCGGTCTCAATGATTTTTCAGAGCTGATTAAGGGAACATCTACAGAGAACAATGGGGTCCCCCCATTCAAGAGAGTTTTTGTTTGTTCCCTTCAGGCTTTCTGGTAGTACATTATCTGATTGGTGGTTTCAACTGCCGTGAATCAAACAAGATAATGTCAAGTGGTATGTGTTTTTCTTAGTGATGCAACCAACCAGCTTGGGAGTTGCAGGAAACCGCCCAAAGACCAAGAAAAGGAACCAACAGTCATTTACACAAAGCACATGTATGAAGGGATCACAATCCCATGTTCAGATATGTTGTACATATATCACATAGGTCATCTATTTGTATGTACATACACATGTAGTTTATGCACATTCCACATACCCATCCCTGAATTTACCTGAATACATAGATTATCAAAAAAATCTTATGTGGAAACTTGAAGAAACTTGTTCAACGAAATACAGTATCAACGATTATGAACCGCATACAACAATCATTATAGAACCATTAGTTAACCATTGACAAACCACCAACAATCAAGTTCAATGATATGCAAGATGGGTTATCATAAAAACTTAATAAACAGCACTAAACCAAGAATAACCATTGATCAAAGATTACGATTAATTGACTTTTAACTAATCCTTAACCATTCAAAATCACCACGACTTGAAGCCAATAATAGTGGCCCTGTCAAAAATCAGAGACATGAAGTGATCAGTAAGACAGCCACCAAGTAACCACTGATTAAACATTAGCGCCATTAATTAACAATAACCATTAACAAAAAATGTAGCCATCATTTAATCATTGGCAAATCATTGTTCATCTTCACTAACAATGATTTAACCATTCATAAACCGTTAGTTATCCATCAGTTAGCCATTGATATCACCAATCATCTTCGTTAAGCATTCATGAAAAACAACCGCTAATAAATCATGAACTTAACCACCTACTCATCAATCATGTTCATTGACCATTATCTAATCAGTGATGAGCCATTACTCAACCACTAAAGCCATTACTTAACAATTGGTAAACCATGAAAAATCATTACTTAACCAGTGCTTACCCATTAGTTATCATTAACCATTATTTAACCACTACTTAGCCATTAAAACATTATTACCATTGACCATTATTATCATTACTTAACCATCCACAAATATAAGTACTATCATTAACATTATCATTAACCATTAGTTAATCATTAGTTATCATGAACCATTTACTTATCCATCCAACATGTTTTTCTTTCAGAAACACCGCGCAACGTCACAACGCCAGGCACTGATGCATCTCATCCTTCAGCTGGTGTATCTCCTGCCGAGGTCAGCCGCGGTTGAACGGTTGTTTTTGTATTAGATAGTGGGATAGTTAATGTTGGATTAATGGATAATAGTGGTATGTATCCATTAATATGGTAAAATGATTAACCAGTATTAACTAATAGTGGTTATTTATGGTTAATAATGGTTAATAGTGGGATAGTTCATGTTGGATAACTATTGACCAACCAGTATAATGGGATGGGATAATGGTTTATAATGGCTCATGTTGGTTCATGTTGGTTAATGATGATTATTTATGGTGATTGATGGTGATGAATACTGATGTAGGTAAAACAATGCCATAAACCACCCATGTTTGAGAATGGCAACCATACCACCTATCAAAATGGTGATGACTGGGGGATGGTTTATGACATTGTTTTACCCACATTGTTGACATTTATTTTGGACACATGGCTATTCATGGGAATATCTAAGTATAGATATATGGTGTGTGTATATATACAGTAGATATATATATATATATACGTATGTATATATATATATACTGTACATGTAATAATGGTTACTGTCCCTTTTCGCGACACGCGTCCTGGGCGTGTTCCAAATCTTTGTTGCGTAAAGCAACTTCCACCTGACAAGGGCAACTGTGGGGGTATATCCCTTGCTCCCAGGTCTTGAAGGGTTATATTCCCTCTGGTAAACGTTTACATAACTATGGAAAATCACCATGTTCAATGGTAAATCCACTATAAATGTACATGTTCAATGGCTATTTTGACATAACCAGAGGCTATTTCCCTCTGGTGAAAGGTGGCGAGCTGGGAAACCGCTAGCCAACATGGAAGGTTTCTGGGTGCCATGTGGGATTTTTTCACGATATGCGACTTACCCTCTGGTAAACTAACATAGCTATTGAAAATGGTCATTTCTGATGAGTTTTCCCATTGAAAATGGTGATTTTCCATAGTTATGTTTGTTTACCAGAGGGTACCACAAATCGCTGAAACCCAAAAGCCTCTTATTCGATTGTGGTTGGTGAACAAGAATTCCCATATCGACTGGTTGGTGGTGACTCAACCAGCTTGAAAAATCATGGAGTTCGTCAATGGGAAGGATGACATCCCATATATGAAATGGAAAATAAACAATGTCTGAAACCACCAACCAGTAGATCATGGTCATACCCCTTGTTTAGCGGGATAACCCCTATACTCATCAACTAACAAGGGCTCTGAACACCGCTCAAAATATGTGAAACACTAGTGAACAAGGCTATTGAAAATTTCTCGGACTGGTTGCGACTGCTTGGTATATTGTTACTGCCTCATTGCTTATTTGATCCCCAATTGTTGTTTCAACACCTGGGCCAAAAAATAATAGCTGCCTAAACTAATATCCTATTCCCAAAATACCAATGATCATGAGATATTAGAATTGTGCGTATTATGTCCCCCCTAAACAAAAACAAAATACCAATTATCTCTTGAGAAAATTATTTCCCCAAAGCCTTTCATGCCCATGAAGGTGGCATCTAAACCTGGACCTAAACATCATCCGAATGAACATCGACTGAAAATAGCTGATTGTTTACTTGAAACTGGTCTTCCAACCCCCTATTTTGGCAGGGTCAATTTTTGGGTTATTGAATTATTGTTTTGGGAAGTGAACACCTATGATTGACATCGCCTGGTTTTTGGCGGAAAAACATGCCAATCATAGGGAACTATTTCCAACGAGCCGAGATAGGGATACCAATCAGCAAACATGGCCATGGCGCAGTTGACAGGGTTGACCCTCCGGCGGATGAATACCAAAGATACTCCCATCCTTTTAATCCGCACCACCATTTTATGGAACCAAATGTGTGTAGATGTCCGGGGCGGGTTGATTGATATGAAGGGGGAGGGATTAGTGGTCATCGTCCATCCATCTATGTATCGATCGATCTATCTATCTATCTATCTATATCTATATATATATATATCTATCTATCTATATCTATCTATATCTATCTATATCTATCTATATCTATCTATATTTATCCATATCTATCTATCTATCTACCTATCTATCTATCTATCTATCTATCTGTCCATCTATCTTTCTACATTTCTTTCTTGATGTTTCTCCCTCCCTCTCTCTCTCTCTCTATCTCTCTATTTTTCTACCTACCTACCTACCTACCTACCTACTTACCTACCTATCTATCTGTCTGTCTGTCTGTCTGTTTGTCTGTCTATATATTTATCGATCTATTTATATATATATATCATATATCTATCTATCTTTCTTTCTTTCTTTCTATCCATCTTGCTTACTTTTTTCTATCCATATATCCATCTATCAGTATCTATCTAGTCCTCTATTCATTTATCTGTCTCTCTGTCAATCTCTCCCAACCACTGTATCTCTCTTTTTCTCCGTCAAGCGGCCCAAAGCTTTTTGCTAGCCCACGATCCCAGCTTGAGATCATCCTGTCCCAACACCTGTGTTTTTTCATATTTTCCAGGGACTGTTCAATTAGAACTTCTAATCCTAAAATGGGATATATGGGTACCAGAAATGGGTACCAGAAAGGGATTTGTTGCTTAGGATTTGTTGCTTCAATTCAAGCAGTTCTATATGCATAGTTTCTAATTATTTGATTGGAATGCCTCAAAATGGAAACCCAATAGGCACAATATAGGCACAATAGGCACACCCAAACTGCAAAACAGTGTCTCGTTTCGGTCTCGTTTGGCTTTGCCTAAACTGCAGAGTACTGGTCGTACTCTACTGGCTTGCAACGCTCCACAATGCACAATTTACAATTTGGAGAGGATCATCCTCTTGTTGACAACGCATGGGTTTTCACAGTTTGGCACAAATGTGGATTTGTTCGGGTCAATTTCCGACAAAAATTATCACAGTTTATCACCAAAACTTGAATTTTCCAATGACTTCGCAAATAGAAACAACTTGCTACTTGAGCTCTTTGAACACCACTTGCTTCTAAATGGACTCGGGGTTTGAGGAGGCTTCAAATAGAAATCGGGATCTCCGATAAATTCCGGGAACTGCTTCTATCTTTTGCGCCCCAGAATGTATCATAATCTACTGGTTGGTGGTATACCTACCCCTCTAAAATATATGAGTTCGTCAGTTGGGATGATTGTTCCCAATATCTGGAACGTGCTAAAAGCATCTAAAAGCCATGTTCCAAACCACCAACCAGTCTAAATTGATCATCTGATCCATCAACATTTAGCTTCCTTTTTACCGGCTCCACTGGCCCGGGTCTCGCCTCCAACTGACATTGCAGCTTCAGCTGCGCCGTCTCTGCTGCTTCCGCCGCCTTCGTCGCCTCTTCTGCAGCACTGGCGCGCGCCTGCCAGTGGCTCAGCAGCTGCCTTGGTGCCGTGGGGCTTGGTGGGGGCCAAATTTCGGTCATAAAATGGCTATGAAAATGCAGAATATGAGTGAAGCAATAATAAACCAGCCATAGTTTGATAGTTTATATACTGTACCACCCATTAATGGTAAAATTGGGAATGATGTACTATTGCTTTGCAAACACTCGAACATTTTCTTGCTGGAAAACACAGGGGGACAGGCAGATTAAATTGCCTGTGAATTGGTCCAAGATACTCAACAACTGCTTCTGGGCAAAAAAGAGGATTGTTGAAAACCAGCGGCTTGAAACAGTGAAATTGTCCCGGAAGCACACAATCTTAACCATCAGATTGAACAAGCAAAAACTGGAATTCAACCGGAACAAACGAATTTACAAGAAGCAACCAAACATAGGAGCAACCAAACATAGGAAATCCACATTTATTATGTACTGTAACTGAAACTGATTATTTAAGAAACCAACAGTATATACAATACACCAAAATCCCAGAAGTACTTTCCATCAACAACTATACAACCACTTAACAAGTATGAAGTTCACCCAAATCAGCAGAAGCGCACCTAAGAACAGTTCACTTCTCTAACTAGTCCTCAACCATTAACCACATACGCTTGTGGAAATCCAATAGTGAAAATAAACAGAATAGATAGGAATTCAATGTTTTGATAGATATCTACACCTATATGGTTTATGGTCATGCATCCAATAGTAGAAATCTTTGTGACGGATATAATGGATTGCTGAAATGGATTGATGACCATCCCCCAGTGTATATATATATATATCAGGGTATATCAGATTATATTGCACAATTTTCGGTTATAATCAGTCAAACATGTATGTATGTATGTAACAGTGTTTTTTTTTGTAAATATATATATATATATAAATAGATAGATAGAGATAGAGATAGAGATAGAGATAGAGATAGAGATAGAGATAGAGATAGAGATATCTATCCCATGGTTATATCTCACTCATTCCCGTAAAATCCTCATTTTTTATGGTTAATTCCAACTAACTTGATGATTGGTAATTAATCTTTGATGATTTTGCTGTTTATACTCCTTATTTCCTTGTTTTGCTGTCCCTATTAAGTCCTTATTTTTCTGTGGTTCCATGACGATACCGACCCAACCAGTGCACTGCCAAGTGGCTGGCTTTGCATCTCTTCCTCCTGTGCCTTCCTGGAAGCGAGCCATGACCATGGATGAAAAACCATGCACAGTTGCCATCGGAAGTAGTGACATACAGTATGTAAGGCTGACCTGAAAATACTTTCTTCAAATGATCCCCACCCTGATACATTATTCTGACATAGTTTCTGACAACTGTTTTTTATCATTGCGAGATTGTATATGCGCATTTCAAAGCGAAAAGGATGGGGAAAGGAAAAAACCCTAGACCACCAATCTGGTGTGGCTGCAAGGGGCAATTCAGTATGCCGATCCTTGACCAACTGGCTCCACGGAAAATCAAATAGTTGTACCAGAGGGGAGCAGGGGGCAAAGACGAGGCAAAGCTGGCTACGACAGCAGCCACATCCGTGGGAAGGAAGGCTGAGGTCGTGAGAAACCAAAAAGTCTCGCACTCAGCGCAAAGACGGCGAACAATTGGAAAAGTTGGCAAAAAAAAGAAAGGCCTTTCAGTCATCGTCTTATCATCTGGAAGTATATATTATATATATATATTCTGACATTCTATCTGGCACTCTTTCTGGCATATACTATGGCATTCTATCTGGCATTTATTCTGACACACTCTCTGACATGGGCACTGCCATACCTCAACCGCGAGCGCCAGATCTCAGTAGGTCAACTGATAAAATCCAGGGACCCTCAGCTGGCAGGTGGGAAACGCTCCAAAGATTTGAATCTTTGCTTTCCCAACATTTGTGAAGTACCAGAGGATAGAAACCTACAGGGTAAACAAGAATTCTCCAGAGGTTTCTGTGGGTGTGTCTGAAAATATAGGATGGCCTCTGGTAAACTAGGAGTTTGCTGTTGGAAATGGCCCAGTCGAAATAGTTGGATTTACTTATCAAAGATGGTGATTTTCCAGTTCGCTATGTTTGTTTACCAGAAGGTAACTCCAGTTATTTTCATGGGATTTGTGATGATTTTTCCCCACCTGTCAGGTGAGGGTTGTTAGATTTTATGTCAGTTGCCTCCTCCTCCTCCTTCTCCTCCTCCTTCTCCTCCTCCTCTCCTCCTCCTCCTCGTCCTCCTCGTCGTCCTCGTCGTCCTCGTCGTCGTCGTCGTCGTTGCTCAACTGCGACCCGCGATCCACAGTGTTCTCTGCCGGACCTCAACCACGACCATCCACGCCCAGTGTTCCCTGCCGGACCTCAACCACGACCATCCACGCCCAATGTTCCCTGCCGGACCTCAACCACGACCATCCTCGCCCAGTGTTCCCTGCCGGACCTCAACCACGACCATCCACGCCCAGTGTTCCCTGCCGGACCTCAACCGCGAGTATCCATGCCAAGTGTTCCCTGCCGGACCTCATGTAGGAAGATATGGGACAAAGAATGTGCAGAAGAAAGTTAGAAAGAATGTCAAAAAGAATGTCAGAAGATATGCCAGAAGATATGCCAGATAGAATGCCAAATAGAATGCCGTATTGCCAGAAGATCCAGATATGCCAGATAGAAGGCCAGATAGAATGCCAGAAAATTTGCCAGATAGAATGCCAGAAAATATGCCAGAAGATATGCCAGATAGATATGCCAGAAGATATGTCAGAATATATGCCAGAAGATATGTCAGATAGAATGCCAGAAGATATGTCAGAATATATGCCAGAAGATATGCCAGATAGAATGCCAGATTGAATGCCAGAAGATATGTCAGATAGAGTGCCAGAAAATATGCCAGATAGAATGCCAGAAGATTTGCCAGATAGAATGCCAGAAGATATGCCAGAAGATATGCCAGATCATATGCCAGAAGATATGCCAGATAGAATGTCAAATAGAATGTCAGAAGATATGTCAGATAGAATGCCAGAAGATTTGCCAGTAAGAAAAAGTATAAATGTCATGGTGGGGATCACACGAAGTAAAGTAATTGTAGACTTAATCCGCAAAAATCACTGGGGTTATAATCCACTAAACCAGTGATTTCCTTTACAAAATTGCACGTTGATCCACCGACGATTCGCCAGGCCTGGCAGTGGCCAAAGCCTCTTCCAAGTCCCGCTGCAGCCGCTTTTCGGTGCCATCCTCTCGCGACGACCCACAGTACCTGGGTGATTTAGTGCCGTGAAACTGGGGGATTTAGCGCCGTCTCAAGGGGGAAAACATAGGATAACATAGGATAGGTAAACTTAGGTAAGCCTGAAAGTTTGAAAGTACCCAAGTTTCAGGAAGATGAGGACAAACCACAGTCTTTTGGTGAAAGGTGGTACCCCATGTTCAGGCTACAAATCATCCAATTGTTGATTATAGTTGGTTATACCTAAGCTCCCCATGAAGTATCCCCAGTATGCCACAAAACATCCCAATTATTGTTCATTGAGAATCAGGCCAAAAGCGGCGTGCCAACCATAGTCCGAGAGATAGCCATACCTAGACCCACCAACTAACCCCCCCAAAAAAGGTACAACATAATAACGTACTAAAATTTAAAATGAGGTGGTATCCATCCTGTATTCTTGGCCAAATACCACCACCAAAATGGCGCAAAAGTACTAACATCATCTAAAATCCCAGGGGAAACCAGCATTCTTCTGGGTACAAACGGAGAGTCAAACAGCATATCCCGTATACCCCTATGTATCGGTGATGCCCAGTCCCATCCTTGACCTCCGCCAAGGCGACTGACAGAAGTTGTTGCACTCCGAGGACAGCAATGGTGGCAGCGGCCCTGATCCTCGCGGTTTTTCTTCAACGCCTCGCTTCCCCACAAAGTAAGGAAGCACCCAATGGTGGACATGGTGGACATGGAACATAACATGGGCTATGGCTTCCAGTTGCAGGTGAAATGATGGCTCAATGATGTTAAAATGAATCTAAATACAACTCAACTAGTATTTTATGATGCAATGTGTAGTTTGGGAACCGGAAGTCCTCATGGATGTTGCCTCAGCGGTTGTTCAAAATGCTGGTTCTCCATAGCAGCCGGCTTGATTACCAGAGGAAATGATTGGGTGTCTATCAGTTCTTCAAACATGGGAAAAACTTAGGAACTCAATACATAGTGGCTTCATCGCTTCAATAACTTCGTCTGAGGTTGATCAATCCCT